TTGTCATCTACCAACCAACCAACATAAGTAAGAAAATCATATCATTAAAGATTCCGCACAATATCTAAAAATTTGGCAAACAAAAATTGAAACCAAACTTAACTCGCAGCGGCCACCATTATTTTATGGATTGGCTTGGGGAAAAAATGTTGAATTCTTCTCTAAACCTCTTTGTAATCAACACAAGTTCTATCTGTGAAATGAGATTTATCAATTCAGACCGCCGTGTAATCAGTTTGATGTTCCTTTAGAAACTGTAGGCAACATAATATAATGTGTTTAACATATAACATTTTGCAATTTAAAAGATAAATTTAGCAATTATTGCATTTGTTTACAGTCTGATGTTTGAGTCATAAATTCAGTTCTAACTTCAGACTTTAGAAAGGTGTAGGGATCTTTGCCAATAGGAGTTTGTTTTTGTTCCATGGGAAAATATAAATATACATTTTGACGAACACAATTCAGAGAGATATTTGGTACAAAAAACCACAGAAAATACATTTACTAGTTGCACAATTGAGAGTAATTTGGAAAAAAAACCACATCAATATCGGAGGCATATTACACGAACAAGACTTAAAATTGCCGCTGTTTACTTGCTGCTTGGACACGGTCCTTTTTTATGCCTTTTTTTCAGTTTGTTTGATTGTAGAACTATCCAACCTTGATACGTTTCAGAAAATGATGGTCAGAAATATTTATCAGAGGCTTTGCACGAATAGCATGTTATATAAAATATGTGTTCACGCCAGAAAAAAATCACACCTCAATTCAACAATATTGACATATTCTTGAGTTACGTCTAGAACTATTTTGATTGCATTTCCTTTAAGTTATTATAATATCTTTGTATTTTTATAAGTCTGTAGTTTTAAATAAATCATTCAGATTACGTAAAACGATTTCTATGTTAATCATTGTAGATGATGTAAGAAAAGCTGTTTTGTTAAAGGGTGGTCTAGAATTACAAACCGTTATAAATCTCCTATCTTATCAATGTACAACGCCTTATTACACACTCCCAAACCTTGTTTCTCGTCATCTTATCTCTTTACAGACTAACTATATTTCTTTGCAGAGAAAATATTACAGTACACAGTTTCTTCATCCAATTCAATGTTCTCTGGTAAGACGAAAAACGTTTAAAATTGGTTGGAAGAGTTTTGAAAATACGATCTTCTCTTGTAGTCATGTAGCTGGATTAACAAACAAACACAAACACTTGTGTAATCAAAAGCACAGTTTCAAGGTCGTGTCCGTCACACGAGCATTGGGCATTTACTGTTTTCGAGTCATTATCCATCATCCAGACATTAGGCATTGTCCTTTTTCAGAGCATTTCTCGTTTAGACCAGGCCTGTGTCCGTGGTAGGCATTTTTTGGGGCATATACCAGTTTCCAAGGCATTTCTACCTTGTCCGTTTTCTGTACATTTCTTTGTTCTGGACATTTCTCATTTTCCTCGGTGGCCAGGATAAATTGAAATAAGCGATTTAGTGCCTTGTCTATCGATTTACCATTTAAGTACAAATAAAATGGACATATAAGAGTAGTCTACTGGTGACCCTCCACATTTGTGGAAATGATCAAATTTCCATCAACCCTGAGCATTAACGTTTCTCCGGTGCTACGGAGATCATATTACAAAGATATTATCGGAAATGGTAGAATTATTACCAAACAACTTTTTACTGTATGTAATGATGCAAGAAGGGCCGTATTCGGAAGGTAGGTCAGTGCCGGAGTCAAAGAGGGGAACAAAGGGATCCCCCACCTATTGCGGCAAAACGAAGGCATGTTTTCCGGGCAAAAATATCAGGTTAGAAATTCGGGCAACCTCAGAACCTTCGCCCCCTTCGGACGTAAACCTGGCTCCGCCACGGAGGTACGAATTATAGTGTACAAAACTTGCAGAATCTTACTTTCCTTCTGACCACAGACAACTGTGATTAAGTCGATTTTTTTCGATCCTGTAAACGGATTACATAAAACGAATTACTTAAAACATTCTCGAAGATATAATACCTGTTCTGAGGAGTCAAATAGGTGGATAAACTGCTATAATGTACAGCAGGGTAGAGTCAATGGATGTCGGGTAAAGCAGAAGGTTATAATGCTATAAGGTCTGTAGGAGTCAAAGAGGTATGGGGAAAGTTGGTGGTAATTCTGCTATAATGTACAGGTCTGTTGGAGTCAAAGAGGTATCGGGGGAATCAAATTGTAATGCTATAATGTGCAAATCTGTTAGATTCAAAAAGGGTTGGGGAGATGCACAGGATATGAGAAGAGGGAGATATTATTGCAATAATGCACAGGTCTGGAAGAGTCAAAAAGGTGTTATATATAAGGCGAATAGCCTATTTTGTTACTTTGTTGCGTTTTTACGACATTCGTTATTTGGATTGGCAGAAGTGACGTTGCTAGTAGATTAGCATGCTAACTAGAATATAATATTAGATATAGTCAATGTATTTTCGGCATTTATGGAACTTAAGAATCAAAACCACATGGTTAATGAATGATGCACATTTTTATGCATAATAAAGTGGCTTTTATAGTTTCTGTTGCAATATATTTAACTTTAAACAGCTTTCGCACTGCAGAACTGGATTATTGAATTTTGTTATAACCGAATAGAATAAATCTGATTCAGTTCGATTCAATTTGGTTCGGTTTGCTTATTCCAATAATAACGTTCCCGCCAACGGGAGACGCCATTATAAACTGTTTATTCACGTGATACCCCATGTGATATTGTTGTCCTGATAACTTCTTGTTTGGTTTCTCATTGCCAATCACCTGGATCGTATCCAGACGAAATCCACCTCTGAATCCACTATCTGGACAACTTCTGGTCATAACCGAATTATTTTACTTGCCACTGCGAAAGCCACTGGAAGTTATTCGATTAGAATCGGATTACTTTTGCAGTGCGAAAGGGGTATGTTAACAAATAAAATTCTTGTTTCTATTTCTATATGAAAACCTCTAGGGGGCGCTGAAATATCTCTGTCCCATTAGATACCGTCATCTGGTTGTAAATTATAAATTGATCGAAGTAAAATTGCGAGCACGTGTTTGGTTACCATATTTATATTCTATTTTCAGAACAGAAATAAACTGACCTAATTATCTGAAAGGCCAATTTTCTTCCAATGAAATTTTTAAAAAAATGAAGAGAATGTTAAAGGGATGATCATGCGAAATAGTTTGAAACATCTGACCATTTGAAGGGTAGGGCTCATAACCTGAAAATAATCCGGTCGTTCGAGGCCCCATGCGCAACAGACTGTACACTTAAAGATTCCAGTTGGAAATCGATAAATAAATCGACAAATGCCGTCGTTCTACAATAAACCGTGGACAAAGCATAGCGTTGCCCAATCAGGTGCAGAATAAAAGGTCGTAACCGCACGCTTAACGATAAGCCATAGATTCAGTGTACGGATAAACGGATTGATGTAACGTTGAACAACGTTTTGCTGTTACCAAGAGCAGCCAGATGAAGGCACTGTATGGTGTAAGGGAAAAGCTTGGAGCGTTTTGGTGTTACGATGTACAGCGTTTTGATGTTACGATGAACAACGTTTTGATGTTACGATGAACAACGTTTTGATGTTACGATGAACAGCGTTTTGACATTTCGCTGAACAGCCACTTTAAAAGAAGACACTGTATGGTTTAGGCGTAATGCTAAGATCGTTTTGATGTTACGATGAACAGCGTTTTGACATTTCGCTGAACAGCCACTTTAAAAGAAGACACTGTATGGTGTAGGCGTAATGCTAAGATCGTTTTGGTGTTACGATGAACAGTTTTTTGATGTTACGATGAACAGTCCCTTTAAAAGTAGACACTCTATGGTGTATCATTGGGATGTTTTATATAATACAGGTTAATGATATACAAACAACATAAAAATCTTAACATAACCTTATATAGAATAAACTCCTATACACGCTAATAGTTTTGACCTGTATGTAGTATAGGCCTGAGGCCTAAAACTTAAATTCGCTTATTAGCGCCCTGTATAACTGCACGTGCATCGTTCGCGTATCTTACTTTTGGCGCCCTAGACGTGTAGTCCGGGCGATGATCTCCATTACAGTCAATCATTCATTGTGATATTATGTGAACCATTTATGTTTATGATTTAATTGTCTTTTCAGAACAAAAGCCTGAAACGCCTATTACGTTCGACCATTGAAATATCCTTAACGATACACATGGTGTCAGTGCCAGTAAGACGTCTTACTGGGGTTGTAAAGAGATTGTGTACCAATGCCGGTTTTGATGACTTCTATGCGAACCATTCACTACGAGCTACCACTACCACTACACTGTATTATTCTGGAATAACCAAACAGTTGATAGCTGCAAGAACGTACCACAGATCGATCGGGGCAAAGGGTATCCGGTGCATCAACTACATCAATCCTTAAAAACGCCCTTATTACTGCACTTGATGAATTCACACAAGCTGTGTCAAGTGCGAAATTGAAAATCACGCCAAATTGTATACCCTTGTGTAAAAGCGATTATTATTATCAATATTAGATGTGAATGCATTTTATTCCATCAGGGTTCATACAGCATTTTGCCTCAAAAATTCAAAGACTTTTCAAGGACTCTGAAATTCAAGGACTTTTCAAGGTTATTAGTCTGACAGAATACACATGGACCTTACTTCTGAACTGTGAAATCAATAAAGATAGTTAATATTTGTCAATTTGGGGTTAATGATAAAAATATTCACAATTTGACTCAACTCAAAATTCAAGGACTTTTCAACAGAAAATGGGTTTTTTATGGTGTTTTCAAAGACTGTTTTTGAAATCAAGGTTTTTCAAGGCAACGGACGGAATTCAAGGGGTTATCAAGGCTGTGCGAACCCTGTCCATGTACAATGTGATGTCCAGGCTTAATGATAAGGACTGTTGAAACCATTATAAATTGTGCTGTTAAAAACCATACTGCTGAGAACATCTGTTCTTTACACATTCTTTATATCGACTAACAATTCTTTCTCTGACACATATATTGGTAATTGCATGTATACGATATAGATCTAATTTTACATATTAGATACCCGAATCAATATTTTATAAACAAATTTGTTAGCTATTTCTATTGATTCACTGAAAGTCTTAGGTTAAGTGTGTTAAGTCTTAAATGCCTTCAGTGGCGTTTTTTACGGTGAACCCCTCCCCCCCCCACTCCCTTCCCTACTCGGCCCCTCACGTAGTGATTCTTAGAAACATCCCTGTATGCCTTCTACGTTAGTGTCAACTGATATTTTTAAATAAAGAAATATATGGAATGGGAAGACGATTGGATGATAGACGATTTTTAGAAGGATTGTAAAGAGATTTTTCTAAAAAAATTTAATGTGTATCCGGGACACTGATAGCATCAATTTGTACCATTCCAATTTGCAATCAGACGTCTATGGATCTTGCAATTCCACTTGCTTACGACGAACAAATGGTTTCTAATCTCGATAGATATGTGAAAGTCCTATAAGACATTGTCACTCATAATTTCAGTCGATCTTTCTGTAAATCGGTACGGATAATCCGGAAAAAATCAATGCTAAGAGGTTTGACCAAGGACCATCTGGTAGAACAGATATTTGTGAACCTAAGTTGTTAACCTTGTAAAATATAGTAGTTTCTTTCCTCTTTTTGCCTTTTTCTGAACGTCTATCGTAGTAGAATAAATATTTGAACAAAACTTTACGATACAATGTACCAGATGCTTAACGTAACAAAAACCATTGACTGTTATTATTGAGCTTTTCTATCGACAAAATTAAATTGTTTAATGCACCGTAAAAATGTCAACAGTTGTGAATAGTTGAAATACTCAATGATATAATAAACCTTGTTTTCTTTTCAGTAAATCAGTGTCAATTGACATAAACATAAAATAACCAAAACCACAAATTTTCGTCGATTTAGTTGTTCAAAAATGTAGCGACTGGTCAAGATAGTCTCCAAGAAATAGTTTGGCTTCATTTCCACTATATTAGTATGAAATACGTCCAAGATTAGTTAACTCTTAGCGAATAATTGTTAATAATTTATTTCAGAATAATTAAGCTATAGTGGTAGTTATTTGCTAGTTATTAAGTCTTTCGAACAATGCAGAAATCACAAGAAAACATAATTTTTTTAAAAAATATCTTGGCTCAGAAAAACTCATTTCCGCCTTGAGAATATTTTCCTAAAAACTTCACTGATATTGCACCGCATGTGACCCGTATTTATATTGATACTGTTTCTAGTTGTTTTTGTTTTTTTTTTCGTTTTTTTTGAGGGGGGGGGGGGGGGGGGGTTACGGTTATTTATTGATATTTCTGGACTATTATCTATTAATCATAAAAAGTTTAAGGGCGAGAAACTATTTCCTATCATAAACGCTTGAAATTCCAGGAAAATTCTTAAACTGGCAATTATGTTATATTAATATATAATGTGACAGACAGAAATGAAATGAAATGAATGGAGTTTTACGTCCAAAATGTGACAGAAAGAGAATTCCGAGCAACAATTTACGACTATTCACGTGGAAATGCAGGGTGCGGTGACAGAAACATTGGTATTTCTTTTAAGGGTGTGGTTCATGATGCCTGAACTGGGCATTATCCCCTCTCAAATCTCTTATCGTTGAGTTGCCTGATGCTGTGAGTTCGCGTTTACAATTCTGTAGCCCCTTCTCATACCCCCTCCCCCTGATGATTCATAGAAACACAACGGAATAGAATTGTAGTACGCAAAGACTTTATTGTCCACTGGATGTTTTTTCTTAAAGAGGATCCGAGGTAACTATTTTAAAAGTAGTCGGCTGGTGTAGAGACAGAAAGGTCGTTTCGTGGACATTTTTTGCACCTTCGAAGGTGCGAGTTTTTTAAACCTGTTTGTTCAAATCGGATACGCGAAACCCAAATATATTCGGAAAGTTGGATATCAGTCACAGCATCATAACCCCCCCCCCTCTCTCTCTCTCTCTCTCTCTCTCTCTCTCTCTCCCTACACCATTTATGTCACGTCTGCGGTTCCATCTAGTTTTTTTGTAATGAAACTGATCTGTCGTCGGCCATTCGTTGGACTGCGTGCGCGATGCTAATTTACAGTCACGGTATAAAGGTAATATAATATTATGTTAGACAAAACTCATCTTCGGAGTAGTGGAAAATCTCTGACTCTTCTCTAGTCGATATATCAAAATATCTATCAGAGGTCGGAATAGACGCAGTTTTTTCTGTTTGAAAGATAAAGCATTCCCTGGGAAGGACATTTGCATGGTTTCAGGGTTGTAAGTTTTGATCTTGAAATATTGTATGGGATGATAAAATGCTGCATTGAAATTAATCATATACGACAAATATAAACCATGTACATGTATATTTATTTAGAAAGGTCTTGTGACATTCGACATTTGACACAAGACTCTAAAAGGTCGATTTATTGTCATACGCAAAAACTGTGTTTATTGATATATTATGATATCTGTTGGTTTGTTATTCTTGTCATTCGACAATTGTTATTTCATAAAAGAATGTCTTATCTTATTATTTACCTTATTATGGTATTTATGGCCGCCTTTAACTTCCATACATACCTTCTCTCTTAACAACTGAATGAATGAATGACCGAACGAATGAATGACCGAACAAACGAATGAAAGAACGAACGAATGAAAGGACGAACGAACGTCTTTAACTTCCATAAATACATTCTCTCTTAACAACTGAATGACTGAATGACCGACCGAATGAATGAACGAACATGCGAATGAAAGAACGAACGGAACGGAACGAACGAATGGAAGAACGAACGAACGCGGTTTGGCGACCTGTACTATTGTTGTATGCATTATATGTGCCTTTATTTTGCCTTTATAGTCAATTGAATTATCACTTTCATAGTTCTAATGTTGTTTGATTAGATATCAGATGAAACAAGAAATTCTTAAGTCAACAATGTTATTTTATCTGTCTATGATTTAAAAGAAATCAATACGTTTATTGTCAATGTTTAACATCAAACAAACGTATAATAATCGTCTTTAATATGACTAGCCCTGGCATTATAGTACCTACCGTCATTCATTTTATCTAGGTTACACACATAATCGTCTTTAATATTACAATTATAACATTATCGTCTTTAATATTACCATTATAACATAATCGTCTTTAATATTACCATTATAACATAATCGTCTTTAATATGACCATTACTATTAACAATACAAACATAATCGTCTTTAATATTTTGTGTACGAACACAATCGTCTTTAATATTACAATAACAAACACCATCGTCTATACTATTACCATTACAAACACAATCGTCTTTAATATTACAATTATAACATAATCGTCTTTAATATTACCATTACAAACACAATCGTCTTTAATATTATCATTACAAACACAATCACAATCGTCTTTATTATGTTACTATTACAAACATAATCGTCTTTTATATTACAATAACAAATACAATCGTCTTTAATATTGCCATTACAAACACAATCGTCTTTACAATTAACATTACATGAATAATCGTCTTTAATAGTATCTGTACAAACACAGTCGTCTTTAATATTAAAATTACAAACATAATCGTCTTTAATATTACAATAACAAATACAATCGTCTTTAATATTGCCATTACAAACACAATCGTCTTTAATATTAAAATTACAAACATAATCGTCTTTAATAGTATCTGAAGCAACACAATCGTCTTTAATATTAAAATTACAACCACAACCGTTTTTAACATTACCATTAAAACATAAGTTACAAACATAACCGTCATGAATAAAACCATTTAAAGATAATATAGACAGTAGAATTTCAAATAAGCGAATTGAATAGTGTGAAAAGAACTTGTTCATTTCAGATATATTTTATTTTCTAAAACCTGTCTGGGACAAAGGAAGGATACTAACTGTAGTATTCTTGTAAATGGCAACTCGGAAATGTATGCAATGTTCCACAATCGTTGCGATCATAAATCCAACGAAACCGATCCATGTCGAACGAATTGTTATAACCATGATCTACTATATCGCAATTAATTTGTGTAGATTAAAAAAATGCTTTATCATGGTGATATACCCAAAATTTGTCCTTTATACTTGGGCCGAAATATGTCCCTTGGGCTTAGATAGGAAATATGTCCCTTATGCTTAGATAGGAAATATGTCCCCTATGCTTAGATAGGAAATATGTCCCTTATGCTTAGAAAGGAAATATGTCCCTTATGCTTAGAAAGGAAATATGTATTTATGCTTAGGGGTAAAATATGTCCCTTATGCTTAGGAGTGAAATATGTCCCTTATGCTTAGGTGGGAAACGTGTGCCGTATGCTTAGGAGGGAAATATGTCTGTTGTGTTTAGGTGGGAAACGTGTACCTTATGATACGGTGGGAAATATGTCCCTTGTGCTTAGGCTAGAAATATGTTCCTAACGCGTAGGCGACAATGCTTTGGCAGGAAATATATGTCCATAATGCTTAGAAATATTTCCCTTATGCTTAGGTGGGAAATGTGTCCCTAATGCTTTTGCGAGAAATATGTCTCTTATGCTTAGGCGGAAAATATGTCCCGCGGAAAATATGTCCCTTATGTTTAATCGAAAAAAATGTCCCTTGTGCTTGGTGTATTTGTTGTGACAACTCGTACACGTAACAGTTTCGTATGACATTTTTTAAGATGATATGATTATATTGCAATTGGCATATTACATTACTAAAATATATTGAAAATCACTTATAAATATCCATCGAGACAAAATAGATAAATGTGCAGCCTTGCGATCAGTTTACAATTTCAAACTGTTTAAATATGTATGTAGGAATTCAGTTTCTTGATAACTCTTTAAAAACAGCGGTGGACCGAACACATGTTATGTGATCTTTTACCGAACCTGTGTATAGTTAAATACGTTGGCTTACTTGTGACAAGATAAAAAATTCCGTTGGAAACGGGCATGCATGTCGCATTTAAGAGCAGCAATACGCTTAAAAGAGCCCTTACTTCGCAGTTGGAAACGTTATTTTTTACTATACGAGTCAGGTCATATCTAACAAAAAAAAGGCATTTTGGAAAACCGTAAAACGGACAACTGAACGTATAGGACAGTGTTGTCAACATCGCAAACGTGATCACAGATTTACATCGATTCTCAGGCCCGTAGATACAAGGGAGCAAGGAAGGACAACCCCCACCCCACCCCACCCACCGAAAAAAATGGATTGCCCCCTGAAAGAATTCTAATAACCGACCAATTCCATTACAGCAATAAATCACCATACACCATTGCTCCTCCGGGTGTATTACTTGCCTCTCCCGAATCGAGTCTGACTACGGTCCTGTCGATTGCATGCTTTTATCACATAACATTTTTTCCATTCTGTCATTAGGTAGTCTCCGTGTAAAAATGCAAAATATTACACAACTGATACAAAAATGAAAGAAAACATTGTTTCTGTGCGTGATAAAAAGAAGTATAGTTGTCTTATTTCTAACATATTTCCCGTGTTTGTTTTTATTTTGCTGTGTATGTAGATATTGTGTGAAATACTATAGGTCTACAGGGATATGGAAATATGATAGAGCGTTTAGCGTCCTTAGTAACCAAAATAGTATATAGTACTCACCGAGGGCAGGATGAGCGTACCCACAGCTTCAATAAGGCCCGGTACGTCAATTTTCCTTTCTCCGGTGCCACTGTCGCTCGTTTCCTCAGATCCTATAGAAGAACACGTAGATATATTACTAATTTTCCGACTTCTTGGAGAATCCTCACTTATACAACTATCCTTTTGGCCATCCGACGAACGTCCGGTCGACGTAGATCCCATACTATCCGTGGAATCCTTTTTCCGGACATTGTCCGAATTTCCAGCCAACAAATTATGTTTTTCTTTGTCCAAATATTCTTTAGAAAATGGACAGCTCATACTGAAATATCACAGAAATTTGTTATGTAATTGTTCTTCAAAAAAGAAGTAATGTTTAATCCGTTCTTTAAAAACACATGTCTATAACACACACGAGCGTTTAAAACTACCGTATATATAGCGAACGCTTCAAACCTCTGACTAGTCTCCTGTCGATATAATACGTTGATTGAAAGAAAAAAAATAGCACTGATTTCTATATTATAAGTCTCAATAAGTTGTGAATAGAGACGCGGTGGTAGTCGGCAGTGTTAGATACCAACACTTGTGTATTAAAGTAGAGAAACTCTAGTGATAGTATTGTCGATACGTTTTACCGACTTAAAACTAACTTCAATCGGCTTGTGTGGCAGATTACAATATTAACACTCTACACGCCAACATAACTGACCAATAATGGGACATTTGCGGTGATTGGACATGACAATTCAATAACAAAGAATGACTGACACGACAACATATACCAACAATCATTGTAGTATCAGTATAATTATTCAACGATCGTATTACAATACCACTGTGGATATTGTTCTTGAGTCACGAGACTCAAACTGTAATTACAGTTCTATGATCTTACATGATTTATGACTGAGGTGTGTTCACCAATATAGCCAATCAAAGTAATGCTCTGTAAGGGCGGAACCACAACTGAGCTCCATTTGAACAAAATGAACTTTTAACATTTTATTTGACACTACTTTACCTGCTTGCGCCAGTGAATAGAGCCATGTTAACTTTACCCACTCTTACCCTATTTCAAAACTGGTTCGGGCCAGGATTGTTTATGTGTCGATAGTATGTAATGAGGTATTATCACATAGAATATAAAACAATACGAGATAATATAATGGGTCGTATTATAATCAGATTGAGACAAAACTAAAATAATATAAACTATGCTGCTGCATTCCTACTATTCTGTTGTCATTGATTTGATAAGCTTTTTAGACCATTTACCTTTATTCACCCATTTTCAATTGCGTCCTATACCTTGACTGCCTGCCATGGCATTCAAGATTGAATCATTGATTAGATTTTAAGCCAGCGAATACAGCTAATAACTGCTCTCGACGGACATTATGGTGATTATACCGGCTTTTTGTCGAGAACTTACTCGCTAAGGTGCAATCCAACCAAATTGCTGCATATGCAATCCTTCGTGATACCAGAACGGTGACCATTGCAGTCAAAGTATCAGACGAAGTTGGTAATAGCGTGACATGTTGAAGATGCTATTCACCGTACATAATAGGTACATGTAGAAATATTATAATGCATCTGGGTCACCAGCGATGACTTTATGTGGTCTGTTTTGATGATACCATTAATGATAAGGTGATATCAATCAGAGGGTGACTAGGTGATATCAATCACACAATGATTATATGATATTAATCAGAATGTCTGGTAGTAATTAATGTAATTAACAAAAATTGATTAAAGTTGACTACTAATATAATCTACTAATGTACCATTAACAATACTATAAACCATGAATATACGTGGTACGACGCTTATCGCATCCAATGAAAAACGTCGTGAAACTGAAACGTTTTTAAAAGAGCATACAATATGGTACATGTCAACAGCTAAAGGTGCGGGCATACAAGCGGTCTAGGTCGAAGAGTTTTGTCTCCGACTCGAATCTTGAGTAAAACCTCGCGTGTGCCCGTGCTTCCACGTAAAGATTTACTGACAGGATTTATAATATCAAACAATAATTGTCTCGGATAGTTTTATCGTCTGCAAGACAGACCATCATCATCTAATTAGAATCCTTTTCCTTTCAATTGCATGCTCCGCTGCTTATCGGTGGAAAGCGACCGACTGGAGATTTTTGTCTCCTCGTGTGCCTGTGCCAGTCGTAGAAACTCAAGACAAGACTCGAATCGGCGACAAAAGTCTCCGACCAAGATCGCTCGTGTGTCCACACCTTTAAAAGACGCCGAAACATATATTTAGTTAGTAAAGAAAGAAACAACAACTATATTTTACAAGGATAACAACTTCTGTTCACAGTTAAAGATCGTTTCAACCAGCTGGTCCTTGGCCAAACCTCTTGGCATTGATCTTTCCCGGATTATTTGTACCCATTTAAAGCTGGGTGGACTGGGAGTGAAGAAATATTTTATGATAATGACGATCTACACTCCTCATCCATCTTTTAAGTTTATCCCCGGAGTATTGGAATCAGTAATTGAAGGTTAGGCCTAATGAAGGCACAAGATCTAAATCGATCTGCATCCCTCACCCATCTTTTAAGTCGAAATCAGTAATTGAAGGTTAGGCCTAATGAAGGCACAAGATCTAAATCGACCTACATCCCTCCCCCATCTTTAAGTTTACACCTCGTGTATTGGAATCTCTAATTCAAGGTAAATGGAGTCACAAGACTCAAATCGATCTACGAAGGTTAATGAAATAAAGTATAATATAACATTAGCTTATAATGACGTCATAAGATTCAAAATTGATCTACATCCCTCCCCCATCTTTAAGTTTACACCTCGTGTATTGGAATCTGTAATTGAAGCTTAATGAAATAAACTATAGTGTTATGTAGGTATGCTATTGTAATGATTAAAACAGACATTAGCTTATTATGATTCAATACTTCATTAAGTAGAGCAGTGTGTAAAACTCATTATTTCTTAAACTTTAGATGATATTTTTACAGTATAATTACATTACCTAAAATACCAGCTGATTAGTCTATGTCTGTCTTCTTATTAGAATGGAAGTATAATGGACCTGGTGTCCTACTGAACTGAATTAAGAAATGTTATAAAAATGAACTTTTAACGAGTTAATGAATTTGGACAAGGCCATGCAGAGTGCAATGCGAATTTGGTAACAAATATGCCCATTAAAGACATCATACAATGAATGGTACATTTGAAAAAGATGTAAAATCACAAAAATTACAAAATTCAACGAAAAGTAGATGATGAATTACATTATATTAAAATAAAAAATTTTTTATTATACTAACAGAACATGTTAGAGGAAAGCTAATCTTCGCTCAAAATTGGGTTCGTGCAGAGCTTAACACCTGGCTTGGCTGGTTCGGCTTTGGCCCACTTCAACATCTTCTCACCATTTTGCATATTAAACCATTGCCTGGTCGCCCCCACTCCCTCACCCACCTTTTAACCCTTCCCTTTTTGCCGCTACTTGCCTCCTAATGATTTATAGTTACGACACTGGCGAAGGTAACCTTCAGAAGAGCTTCAGTGAATTAGACTCTATCAGTTTTATTTTTTCTGATGACAAATCTGAAATTTTTACAGATTTGGACATAATCAAAGCAAATTGGATTGTGGTCTATTGTGAAATCATCCTAAATTAAAACTTCCAAAATATTTATAATTTTGTTATAAAAAGATATAGTCTTCAATTATACCAGCTTAGACTTTCTACCAGTTGGATCACATTCAGAATGTTTTTCAACAATTGGCTAAACAGTTAAAGGGAAATAACTGCCGTGAAGGAAACTACAGACAACTTTATTTGTTGGCAATTTTCGTCTTTCGGATATTTCGTATAATTAAACTTCAATATAGATTTACAAGAAGCACAAATGATGCCATCTGTGTCCAAATTCAGTGGCGACTGCAGATATTCTCAGGGGCTCTGGGGAGAAATCCTCCAGTTCTGGATTTTGACAAACAATTATCAACCAGATGATAGGCTATAACAAGCCTCGATCGATCAGGTGGACAACATGATTCAAATTCTTCAAGGAAGCACATGAGAAGCTGATGGTACTGTGATTTTTTCAGTCGATGGTTGGTGTGCTTGTGTCATTTAATGCTACCAGTAATTTCTTTCCGTCGCAGCTCTCATTTATACCAATGAAGACCTTCAAGCAAAGCAAGCCAACCAACAAGAGTTCATCACAAAATGACAAGACAAAAAATAACTTCTGTTTCTCTTTATTGAGAGATGATATGAAAACAAAATGAGTGCTTGAGGCTTGAAATAAAATAGAGTTCTACAGACATCAATAGACAATAGCCAGAGTTCATTATTATACAGATTCCTTAAACCCCTAGTTTGGGTTTTACAAAATATATTTCCAAGTAAATTACAGTATAGGTTGGGGTCAATTAAATTTCTCAGCATGCAAACTAAATGGGGTACTTAAATCTACAATTATATTTAATTACAAACAATTCTGAACAAATTTCCCACATTCGAATTGCAAGAGCATGCTAATTTTCAATAAATGAATTTTTGTATTATTTGATTTAAAAAACATGAAACCTTAATTTGATTTGAAACTGAAACTTACTTAGTTCAGCCTACTTATAAGAGGATGTAAATCTTACTTATAACAGGATGTCAATCTTACTTGTAGCAGGATGTCAATCTTACTTGTAGCAGGATGTCAAGCCTACTTATATCAGGATGTCAAGTTTACTTATAACATGTCAATATTACTTATAACAGGATGTCAATATTACTTATAACAGGATGTCAAGTTTACTTTTCATAGGAGGTCAAGCCTACTTATAACATGATGTCAATATTACTTATAACATGATGTAAATATTACTTATAACAGGATGTCAAGTTTATTTTTCATAGGATGTCAAGCCTACTAATAACATGATATCAATATTACTTTACATAGGATGTCACGCCTACTAATAACATGATATCAATATTACTTGTAGCAGGATGTCAAGCCTACCAAGAAATGAAATCATGTCAAGCCTGCTTATAACAAGGATGTCAAGCCTACTTATAACAAGATGTCAAACCTATTTATAACGGGATGTCAAGCCTACTAATGAAATGATGTCAAGCCTACTAATTAAAAGATGTCAAGCCTTTTAATTAAAAGATTTCAAGCCTACTAATTGAATGATGTCAAGCCATTATAACATTATGTCCTTATAATATGATTAAATCAATTTGTAACATGATGTGAAAGTACGTATAACATTATGTCAAGTTATAACATAGTGACAAGTTTACTTAAAATCTTTGGGCAAGTTTACTTCTTACATAATTTAATGTTATAATTTCAAGTCTACTTATAACCTCCTGTCAAGTCATAACAAGATGTCAAGTCATAACAAGATGTCAAGTCATTGTATTATAACCTAATGCCAAGTTACCTTTATTATAACCTCATATCAAGTCAGCTATATTATATTTTCCTGTCATGTCATAACAAGATGTCAAGTTACCTTTATCATAACCTCATATCAAGTCAGCTATCTTATATCCTTCTGTCATGTCATTATAACCTCATGTCGAGTGAGTTATTTTATATCCTGCCATGTCATAACAAGAATGTCAAGTTACCTTTATTATAACCTCATGTCAAGTCAGCTATATTATATCTTCCTGTCATGTCATAACAAGATGTCAAGTTACCTTTATTATAACCTCATATCAAGTCAGCTATATTATATCTTCCTGTCATGTCATAACAAGATGTCAAGTTACCTTTATTATAGCCTCATGTCAAGTCAGCTATATTATATCTTCCGGTCATGTCATAACAAGATGTCAAGTTACCTTTATTATAACCTCATATCAAGTCAGCTATATTATATCTTCCTGTCATGTCATAACAAGATGTCAAGTTACCTTTATTATAACCTCATGTCAAGTCAGCTATATTATATCTTCCTGTCATGTCATAACAAGATGTCAAGTTACCGTTATTATAACCTCATGTCAAGTCTCTATCATAACTTAGTTCTAAGTATGTCAAAACTACCTCTTACATAATGTGACAAAGTCAAATTCTCTTAATAACCTCAAGGTAATATTTGAAATCAAGTTGACTATACAGTATGCATAAATGTCTGTATCAAATAAATAACAAGAGCTCTTAACAGTACATGACAGGCAAATACTTTTATTCAGCATCAATTCCCAACATTTCCTTTAAAGTGATATTTTTAACTATTTAATAAAAATGTCTTTTCAAAAATTGTTATCAGAAAGCTTATGATTTATCAGGGGTACTTATAGCTTCTATTTGTAACATGGATTTCCGATTTCCCGTAATTTCAGAAAACTTGATATACAGTGCTAACCTATTTTTCGTGCATTTCCGGAAATGATTAATAATTTACATGTGCGACCTCGACTGACCTCCGCATTTGCTTGTTTTGATAAACATGTGTTATCTCTTCAATATCAGCTAGTAGAATGAATCCAGTAGTTTCAAGCAAGGCAAAATCTATTAATGTATACTTTGAAAAATACAAAATGGCAGATTTCAGTTATTACCAAACGCCAAAAATCGGCCGAATTTCCTTATAATCCCAAGCGGTAATCAGAATTCCAAGTGAGGAAACATCTAAGACATAAAAAAAAATTTTTGTTTTTTTAACTTTGAGGAAATTCGGTGTAGAATCCTTACATCCACGAAAATAGGTTACACCACTGTACCATTCAGATTTTATGTATGCTTCTGTCATTTCAATTAAGATAAAGGCTCGAAATCCTCTTTAAAGTCCAAATTAAACTCAGTGCGAGTGATGACAATCTAAGTATCCAGGCCATGGTTTCTTACATGCAGTTATAACTAAAGTGTATGCATTAATCAGGATTAACTTAAAATTACTTATTACTAATAGTGACAGAATAAATATATTATAATTCACTGCTAAGCCAAAATGACAAAATCGTCATTGTTATTGGCATGAATTTTTTTCGACTATGAAAAAAGATAAAAATATCACATCCCAGAAGTGAGAAACTTATTTCTTATATCTATATACAAATAGAACTATTTATAGTCCAACCAAGATATCAATATACATCTAGGGACATTCAAAACAGGCCTGAACAGTCCATTTTTTTTAGAGGTGGTTTAAATGGTCATTTACACAATTTAAGTGTGTTATGTTAAATTTCAATTACCATTTATTCTACTCCGAAACAAAACAGACTATTCTTGTTTATGTTTTCAAATGCTCCTTGGTGTATATAAATATCTATAGCTGACCTCAGTAATGCAATAACACAAAGACAAATTTCATTGGCTGACAAATTGTGTCAATAATTTCAGAGATTTTCAATTTTCTACTCAAAGTCAAAGGTTATAACCAAACGTCAGACAGTAAAATTTGAAAATGATATAACATAAAATAAAACATTTATAATCAAATAAAAAAAGGAAATAATTTCATGCAAATACACTGAACCATCTTTGAAACATTCTTAAACTTGAGTTATCTCCCTTCTAGCATGAAAACAAACAACATTCATTCTCACTTTCAGAATTCTTAAGATATAATTTAAGGAGATTTTAAATCTAATTCTATATTTTCTTAGCAGGTCTCAGTTATTTTCTGATTATTAAAGAATGTAAGAACTCAACCGGAAGCCTTTTACAAAAATATAGATTTAGACCAAACATGTCCTTTAATGAAAATCAAATCACTTTTGATTAACAACCAATACAGCCAAATTTTCACCTCGATAGAATAAGCCAGATATGCAGGACTGGCTATTTTGCTGTGATAGGTTCCCAATTCAAAGTAAAATGGATATTCACTCAATGCCTATATTTAACCAAAACGAATGATTTACAATAAAAAAAAATGTGATCAACACTACAATCATTTATATATATATATTTATATATTATTCACAAATATCTATTCATAATAATAATTTACAAACACAAAATATCATTTAAAAACATATCATTTTACTTGATTTACTTGTGGAGACCTCATTGGTTTAATTTTTACACTATGCATTTATGTAACTTCTCATTTAGAGAGTCTTTAAAAATTGTCCGATATTTCAGACAAGGCATCTTCACAATGTCATGCTATTACGAACTTGTCAATACCTTGACATCAATACGCATTTTTCTTGTATCAGGGAAGTTTGAAAAGCAGCCATCTAGTTCTTTTACAGTCTTTCCTTTGAAAGCCATGATTGGCTGTATTTGTTAGAACCAACCTGTTGTGTTACAAAAAAAGTGCCTAAAAAGGTCAAGGTATTCAGTCCACTTTATCAATGGTAGTTTAAATGGTAATGACAATGTAAATGTTTGGATTGTTTAGTTTCAATAACTCTTTATTCTACCTCAAAATAAAATGGACTGCACTCGTTCATGTTTTGAATCTGAAACAGTAACATGGGTGGAGTAAACAGACTACTGATAACAAAATTAACAACAAAATTGGCAGCATTCAAAAAAAAGAGCCTGGATTATCAAATGCATTTTATTGAAATCCATAAATGGTAAAAAAACAAAGGATGTTTTGCTGTCAATGTTCATTTGTGATGTTCATTTTCACATTCTGCATATCAGAAGTCTTTCAGTCTCATTCAAATAAGATCAAATTTCATTACATTTTTTATCAGCTTTAAATCTATATATCGCCACTTCAGTTAGGGTCTAATGACAGCACTCTTGAACATTTGAACATAACTCGATGTCTGCTTTATCCAATAAATTTCTACCTTCTCCAGCACTAGCATTTATTAATGGGGGTGTCAAAGTTAAATTGGACGAACGTTCAAGATGGCTGCCACTTAAATGAAGTGGCTATATTAAAAGTATAAGTCTAACTTTAATCCAATTGAGTAGTCTTTCTGCTACCTGGTAGGTTTTAAGTGATGCAAAATCAGATTCTCATTTTAAAAAGCAGATAGTAAAATTGATCTCTAATAGCTGATAAGACAAAAAGAATTTCATGATTTTATTCAGCCCAGAAAACATCTAAATGAACATCTAAATGATCATTTTTAAAAATCCTATTAAAAAAAAAAAAGTCATAAGCAAAAAAATTTAAACACTATATCTATGGTTTTTTTTTTAAAGATGGGTTCCCATTTATAAAATAAAAATGCTGATACTTATGACTAGGAAAAATACCAGTTTGTCTCCCATGTCCATAATTAATTTATAATTAGCTAAATTAGAAGAGAAATATAAGCAGAATTCCAATGAGTGACTGATCAAGAAAGGTCAAAAAGTTTTTTTTTTGTTTATCCAGACGGTACAAAGACAGACATTTATGATTGGTTAAAATTTTTAGTTACATGCAATAAGAACATAATGATATGAGACAAATTAATCAAATAGTTTGTTAATTTGACACTAAAAAATAAGGAAACCCATCTTTAAGAATCGGTGGGGCCAGAAATTGGTAGACTAACAAAACTGATACTGCTCAAAAGATAGAAGTCATTTTTAATTGCATAGAAAGCAATTACAGCTGGTATCTATACCATTTCCCTGTATACTAATGGTAGAATATATTAAAATAATAATTTGGATTTCACTAGTGATCAATCTATTATATATGAATAAGCAAAAAGCCCTATTTGAATTTTACAAATTTTTTTTGGCCTATAAATCTGCTTTCAGGGTACCATATAAATATTATTTTGCTTTACAAACTAGAAGAGGTCAATTCCAGCCAGCTGTATCTCTTTTCAGAATCAAAATCTTGATTCTCTGTTCCCTTTCAATTATACAAAAACTTTTTAAGTTTATACTATCATCTCAGATGAATTGTAGGGAAATCTGATATCTGATATTGATTTTGAAAGGTGATATGGACAGCTGCTAATACATATATTTAGATGACAATATTAACGTTTAAAACTTCAAGAACTTTTCCAGCCATCTTTATATGAAGATTGTCAAACTCAAACTACATCAAAATAAAGTTGGAACACTAAATAGCACAGTGTCATGAGGTGTAAGCTTGCTTGACTATACCTAATTACAAGATAAAACATAAAGAATGTTGACAGCCATCATGATTGATCCAAGAAACTTTACACAAGTAAATATCAGTTAGTTAAAATCTTCTGTAAAACATTAAGACAATGTCATGCTAATATATACAAATTGCCCGTCTGTCATCGACGACACCAATAATACTCAAATTCACAGCATCATTAATTCCTTTTTGTTGCCGATTGCACACTACCTGAAAGCCTTCATGTCCATAAGGTATCCTACAATGCTACACTCTAAGGCTTCACTCACGAACGCCTTGTTAAGATTTTGTAATAGTCCAGAATTTGAATTCTTACAACACATTTCTTTAATGGCAAGCTTTTTCTCACTTTCTTTTCACAAATAATGCAAGTCTTGTTCACTGTAAATGGTTGAATAATTATCCATGTTACTATATATCACAATATTGATTCCATTTGCAGGGAGAATTTTCAGTTCGATAGAAATTTTATCCTCATGATAAACACATCTCTAAGGATATTCCCAGTCTATGAGAGTTACCTCCCTTCACAAATGACCGTCTGCTCACAAAAAGAAAATGAACTGAATGAATATAACTTATATATATATATATTTATGTCTAAAACAATATAATAGAAACAACATAATAATATGATATTTTTTTACATAAACTTTAAAAAAAAAAAAATTAACAGAAATTTTCCATGAGGTGATTTTGATTTTTTCGCCCTAAAGCTAAAAACAGAATGCGTGAAAGTGCAATATAACAAAAAGCATGATTTATTTGTGGCTTTAAAAATTAATTTTTCAATTTATTCTACTTAATGAGCAATTTCAATCCCTAATATTCCACATCTACTTTAGGGTTATATTAGGGTATAATTATGCACAAATTAAGAATATTTTGCTCAGACCAAAAGCAAAATGAGCAATAGGTTTTTAAAATCATTTTTTAGGTGTATTCATTAACAAATCAAAAGACAAAATTAGGAATAACTTGAATAAGAAACAAGAGATAAAAAAGTACAAGTGGAGTTTGTCGTTGAAAATTGTTCATAATCTTTTGTCAAGTTGTGATATCTGTTTGTGAGAGTAAGAAGAAGAAATAAAATAGAGAGACAGAATAAGGTCCACCATCATTATAGTACAACACAACAATTGCTACATCCACTTTCTCCACTTTTATCTTTCTTTAACTGGCCTGAAATTATACAAAACCAAACTATGTCTTTAATATCAAGAGATAACCTGTTTATTTTGAGAGTTTTCACCACCAAAGCAAAATCTGGCATAATTTCGGGTGCTCATACAGAAGCAAACCCTTAATGAATAATGAGTCCATCAAGACATTACTAGATATTTTACAGTGTTCCTGTGACTCACAAAGTACCACAATACAATAGAAGGGTGGGCTAAACTTATAGAGTTGTATGAAGAAGAGAAAAGCGAAACCCTCGCATGTTTTGAAGTAGGGTGACATGTCCTCTACTAGATATAACCCAAATATGTAACTGATTCTTACCTTGGTTATTAGGCTCTGGTAAATTCTCTCTTGCCACCAGATGCATAACTGTTGTTTTACCAGTTGGTAATTGTAAAGCTGAAATATAAAGTAAAATGAAATGAAAGAAAAGAACCATATATCAAATTTTTCCAAAGGAATTTGTATGACCTTTAAGTTTATACAAGTAAGGAAATTTGAAAATGAATTTAACCATAAATTTCTTTTCAGATTCTTTTTCAATTTGAAAATCCTTTTAAAAGGAGATTGTTCCCAAAAAACCATATATCATCCATCTGATTACCCAGTATTTACTAAGATCAGTGTATAGGATTTAGAGATACAGTAATGTGACTGGATGACAAAACCAAATTGTAGATCAGATCAAATGTAATTAATTGAACAAGACTTGAATATTCAAATTATCTTGAGCCAGGTTTTCAAGAAAAATAACCCAGCGATTACCAAAGTTTTGAAGAGCAAGGTCCAGCTCTTATTTCAGTCCTACCTGCTAAGGTAACATTTCCATGTAAAAATCTTCCTTGATATATCAATCTCAATATATTAGATGATGGTAGTTGTTCATCATTCCATTCTGTAAAATATAACATTTAATACCATAGATAAGCACTGTTTGAACTTTTGTGAACAGGCTATAGTACAGTGAGTTAGGGTGTTGGAAGCTTCACATAACATCATTTGCTCGGTTTAAAGGTTTAAAGCTACTAACCCTTTACTCTTATAGGCAAATTGAATTTTACCAATTCTTAAAGGGACATTCCCCTTCTTTGTAAGTCAACATCTTTTTTGCTCAAATTTATGAAAACTATAAACCAAAATCTAAAAAATGTATCCCTAATGTATCTGAAAGTTTTAACTAAAAAAATCCAGCTGTTAATTTTTTAACACCAAAACTTTACCTACAAGGTTATGTAACCTTCTAAAGTTTGTTATGCTTTTTGCGAGCTGTTAAAAAACTACTGTACTGATTTTAGTAAAATAATCGCCTTATTGCAGAGAAATATGTCTCCAATGTTTTCTAAAGATTTCATTTAAATTGAACGAGCCATTATAAAGTTGATCACGGAAACTAGGTCAAACTGCTTAATTAACAATTAGTACTCTCAGTTTTTAATTAACCTTTTAAAACAAATTCAGTTTGATCAAATAAGATACATAGATATAAATAACATACTTTAGAAATATTTTCAGGCATAATTTACGTTTTTGAAAATCAAAAATGTTTTACAAAAAAAGTGGTATGCCCCTTTAAAGTAAAATGTGAATATCAGCTTCAAAATAGTACTGATAGTCTAAAATTTCAAATAAAAATGAAAAATTCTAGCCGAATACTGGACAGTCCTTGATAATTTTTGTACCATTTCTTATTATTCGATTTTTTTGTTTTGTTTTTGTTTTTGTTTTGAATAATACTGAGTGTCATAGGAAGTCATCTTTAAATATAAATAACTGGACCATTCCTCAAGTGGGTGGAAGGTAAAAGTGTAAATTATAAACATTATGTCAAGAAATAGTAAAATTAAATGTGACACTCCCAAAGAAAGATAATATCTATTGTAGTGCACTATATAATTAATAACCTTATATTGTATGATTCACTATCATAAGATACAATATCAATAACTAGATAGATAGAACACTTCAAAACCTTCCTGTTATAATTTCATTGCTTAAAAAAGAGTCTGGAAACATATTATTCATTATATATTATAAAGAAAACATGTTATATAATAAGTTACATAACTTGTTTTTATATTGTTTTCATTTCCAACAGCATATTTTCATAACATAACTTTTACTTTTTTATTTATACTATAACATATATTTATAATATAACTTGTTTTTAATATTCGTTGAATTAACACAACATATTTTCATCTTCTTTGAATGTTAAAGGGACAAATGCGCCATTTTTCGGGGGTTGATTTAATTTTGGGGTATGTCAAAAATATCTCAAATTAGGAATTTCTTTTCCTATTTCTATAGATGTCTTTTCTATATATATGTGTATGGCAGACTCTCTAGATAAGACGACTCGTCTATTTAACTTTCAGACGCGGATATTTCTAGACACACATGGATAAATTTCAACGAAAAGCTGCTGTGAACACTATTACTAATTGGCTTGGCTATAAAAATTCTGTTTCTGAGACTTGGTGAAAAAAATGGCACATGTCCCTTTAACAATTTATATGTTTGAATATTTAACTTTTTATAATACAACTTTTTATATTCATCCAATTTGGAATAGTTTTTAAGAAATAACATCAAATCATATTCTTTTAATTTCAAATAATTATCTTTATAAATATATTCTTTGAATTCCAAGCTTTACATCTTTATAACATACCCGTAACTTGTTTTATAATTTCAAGCTATATATTATATAACATACTGTAACTTGTTTTATAATTTCAAGCTATATATTATATAACATACTGTAACTTGTTTTATAATTTCAAGCAGTATATCTTTATAACATACCGTAACTTGTTTTATGATTTCAAGCTATATATTATATAACATACCGTAACTTGTTTTATGATTTCAAGCAGTATATCTTTATAACATACCGTAACTTGTTTTATAATTTCAAGCAGTATATCTTTATAACATACCGTAACTTGTTTTATGATTTCAAGCTATATATTATATAACATACCGTAACTTGTTTTATGATTTCAAGCAGTATATCTTTATAACATACCGTAACTTGTTTTATAATTTCAAGCTATATATTATATAACATACCGTAACTTGTTTTATGATTTCAAGCTTTATATCTTTATAACATACCGTAACTTGTTTTATGATTTCAAGCTTTATATCTTTATAACATACAGGTAACTTGTTTTATAATTTTAATTTCAAGCAGTATATCTTTATAACATACCGTAACTTGTTTTATGATTTCAAGCTTTATATCTTTATAACATACCGTAACTTGTTTTATGATTTCAAGCTTTATATCTTTATAACATACCGTAACTTGTTTTATAATTTCAAGCTATATATTATATAACATACTGTAACTTGTTTTATAATTTCAAGCTATATATTATATAACATACTGTAACTTGTTTTATAATTTCAAGCAGTATATCTTTATAACATACAGGTAACTTGTTTTATGATTTCAAGCTTTATATCTTTATAACATACAGGTAACTTGTTTTATGATTTCAAGCAGTATATCTTTATAACATACAGGTAACTTGTTTTATAATTTTAATTTCAAGCAGTATCTTTATAAACAAACTTTAAATTTCAAGCAGAAAGCTAATATCTTTTGACATTTAACATTTGGTCTTGCACCTTTTAACAAAGAACTTACCACTTGGCCAGTGACTGTATACATGTTCTGTGATCTCGGCAGCGGAATCACTTGGTAAAAACAGGAACTCTGCTGTTTTACCACTAACTAAAATGAGTCTTAAGTTAATCTGAAATGAAAAATAACATTATATCTAAGCATTATATAAAAAAAAAAAAAAAAAATTGTTACCCAACAAAACCCAACCGCAATAGGACAGCAATACCAATGTAGCAAAATCATCAGAGAGCTTATCTGGTAGATTTCATGAAACTTAGAATCTAGGCAGAACTGGCTGCCATGAACCAGGATTATTCAATTTATTTGTATAAATTCATTCCAGTCTGTTTGGAACTCCAATTTTCATCATGTATTTCTTCATTTCAAAAAAAATTTAGATTAAAATCTTAATTTACGTGTTAAGATGTAGGGCTGGGAACCCTTCTACAACCATTGATCAATTTCCACAAAATTAAAATTTGGAGAACGTGTCAGTAAGTCGAAAACATACTATACTAGTTCTATCAATATACAAAAGCTTTCTCAAAATCAAGATAAAAACTATAGCTTCCATTGCATTCACATTCACAAGCCTATTATGAACAGATGGAGAGACAATGTTTAATGCGAGCGTTAAAAAAAAAGACACTGCTTGTGTCACGGTGCCAAGACACTAAACAATCGTGCAATCGAGGAGAGTACCTAAGATATAATACCCAAATTCATTCTACTTCATTTCAAAATACAATGGACCCTGAAGTCCCTGATTTATCTGTACATTTCCATTGCCCATAAAATGGTGTGGTATAACAAACTTTCAGGTAGTGTAAACATGTCATATCAGTCATAACAAAGAGTTATGTCCCTTCCTATTTGGACACAAGTGTTACGTACACAACACGTAATTAACACGCGTGTACCGGTACTAGTACTTTATACAATATAGTTATAGACTGCTTGTTTTAATTTTTTCATGTCATTTCTATAGCATGATAACGACAAATTTCTGATGAAATAGTTTAGTTTCCTTCGGAGTAGGATTAATAATATATAAACACATATTTCCCTGCCCTAAATTCTTAGCGTTGTAAACAGCAATCAATTTCCATAAATATATCAATAATTGAATAAATGACCATTAGAACAGCAGTAAAATAGACCTAATTACTGTCAGACCAACTGGACATGTTCCAAAATCACTAAATACCAGGCAACAACATTGGCCATATAATAAATTGATTTATAAACTATTTTAATAACAACTTTATTAATAATATCAACCAACAAAATTATTATCAATCATAATACACTTTTATAGCCTTATGAAAGTCTTATTATTGGGAAGACGTAACATTTTTGCTGCAACCAGTATTCAAACTACTCTTTGACTATGTTTACTGAATTGAATTTTGGCAATCATTTCCGAAGGAATTGAAATATTAACCACAACATTCTACTGAAAGACTTGGATTGTCTTTGGGATGATGAAAATGTTCATCATTGGACAAATTATTATGTGTAAACAAGATTTTACAGTAGGGAATTATCAGTCCGAAAAGTTGAATTTTCTTGGAGGAAACCTTATTTTTCTATGGACACAAAGACATTTTAAAGCCAATGGCATAGAGTTGAAAAATTTATTTTTAATATTTAGGAAATGAGAGAAAAATTCACTTCAAAGCTCAATGTAGTCAGACAGTAAGCTCTTTTTTATATGAGGCAAAAATAGATTTGTCTTTGAAGCCAATTATGTATTTTATCCCAACATAATTCCACAAAAAAAACCCCCCAAAATCATGCACTCTTGAATGATGACATTTACTTTTAGACATCATTGCCAAAACCTATTTTATTTTCTCAGGTTAGAAATAATGTATGTCCTAATTTCAAATGAAACAGGATTCTGTATATTACAGGATGTCCTGTCAAAATTAGGGTTCGGAAATGAAATAATTTTGAGCTGATAGCTTCCTGTAGCTAGGTTTTCAGTTCACTACTATCTATTTCTTCAAGATGTTTTCAAGATCTAAGTAATTATTGAAAAACATTGATCTCTTAATAGCATTTATAGGCTTACATTATAATTTAATTCTCTAGTTACCATGGTAACCAGGTATTAAATGGCAGACTGAGATTAATATCATCAAGGTTGTCATATTAAATGATAGGAAAATAGCCACATCAATTGTTGTAAACTTATACCTTAGTAAACAACCCTTAAAAACACAAACTATACCATAGTTAATCTAATTAACATTGAAATTATGTATCCCATTAGGGTTCCAAGTACAGGTACTGTTGTTTATCTTTGTCCAATCAGACTCGACTGCTTTTCTTTATTCCCACAATTAAAGGGGTTTTTTTTTAATTTTCCATTATCAGATGTGTGTGTTTCCTGCATGAGCAATAAATCAAAGTGTTTAATGACATCACTAATGAAGAAGGGCCTTATGTCAAAATGTATACTTTGAGAATAGTCATTGAAATTGCAGAAAACATAGCCGTCCGATCGAAAGTTAGAATGGGAAAAATTTATGCTATTAGAAAACCTCCTAGCAATCCCTTTAATCTATACGGTATTATAATATTCAGTGTATGTACCCAACAAAGGGCCTTTTACACATGAGATTTCTGTAACAAAGTTGGTTAAAATCTTGTTTGAATCTATACTAATATAGGTCATTTGCTTAGTTACTGGTACATCAAACAAATGGTAGTCAGGGGTTCTAATCTTGGTCAGACGTGAAAGTCTGGTTACCTTCTTAAAGTCCACCCAGCCAATGTCACGACATTTGGCCCAGGACCAGCTGATAGAAAAGATCCTTGTGAACCTAAGTTATTATCCTTCTTGACATTGATATTTCCACCCTGATTTTATATTCAGTAAAAATTTGGTGTGCAGTTACAATTTTAATAGTTTTAGGGGTTTCAGATGAGATGCAGACTCAAATCATATTACAATTTGTTCAAAGATAAACTCAATTAGTCACATTTTGAAGCATTTCCTTTCAAAATTGAAACAACTGTTATATCACTTCAGATAAAATTATGCTTGTAAAGAAGGAAAATCCACATTTATTCACAAATATTCTATATTTCTACTCTTACTCCCTTATATGAACCAGTTATGCAAACTGGCGTTTATTTTTCGATAAACTGTAGTTTTTCAATCGATACTACATGACGTGTTCAAGGGGTGACAACAATGATGCAATCATAAAATTGTGTTATATTCAAGGAACCAACAAATAAAAAAAGAAAATTGTGTTAATAAATGTATCCGAAAGTTAATATTAGAATTAAATGATGGTCTCACTAGCATTATTGGTGTGTAAACGCAGTTGATCACACCACAAAGATACATTTCATTTTGTCACATGATCAACTGGGTTTACACACCAATAATGCTAGTGAGACCAACGTTTTATTCTTAATTTCATCTAATTTTGACCAAATCAAACTACACACCTATATCAGAGTAGATAACAAAGTCTGTCCATATCTTTTTCTAGGAACTTGTGACTGGGAAGTTTCCAGACACAAGCATATCAGTTTAACCTATTAAGCTTTAATTTGGTGAAAAGACGTCTAATGTCTGTAAAAATATGAGATCAAATTCTTAAGATCATAGCTTTGATTCTTTATGAAAAATTTGTCTTTTCTTAGCCACACGATATATTATTGATGAAGTTTCTTTAAAACCTTTTGTGAGACCCAATAACAAGCATTGTGTAAGAGAACTTCGCATTATGCAAATTTAGTGGGTTTTTTTTAGGGCGACTCCACTTGCCATTCATGATCAGACAGTGTTATACACCTCCTTCCTTGTCTGAGTCATTTTATATTCAAACAATCAATTTCCCCATTCAGTATTAAGGTATTACAATAAAAATTGTCCATAGGAAGATTTTGCATAAATTAATTTTCCATGACCCAAAACTTAACCAAGCCCAATTCAATCTCTCACCTTTAGATATGTTGTGTTTTGTTATTTACATGAATTTGTATCAACTAGTTTAGATATATGTATTATGTTGATAAAATATAGATTTAAGATTCTAATTATATCCACTTCCATGAAATAAAGACTTATCATTGTCTCAAACATACACATACACATGCCCATATATTTCTCTATATCTAGTCCTAGACATTTATAACTGACATTAGTTTTCAGGAAACTGTTTGTTTCAAACCTTCTTAGACTTGATGTACCATAGTCGCTTTGTAGATTCTACTCATCTTGGTACCACTTTAATTCCCATAATCCATCTCACATTCAACATAATCAAAAGGAGAAAATACCTTAACCAAAAGTTATGAATTGTTGGCACAGTTGACTAACATGTCTGAATCTGCCATTTACTTCATAAAACACTACAGTGTTCCCTGTGCTCCTAGGGGGTACTTATACATCAAGTTGAGAACCAGGGATCTAAGGGTATTGATAATCTCTTGAGACTGGATCAAAGACAAACTTATAGTCATAGACAAGACCCCTCCAGAACCACTTTCAAATATATGGGCAGGTCTTCCTATTTCTTTATCTTTCAAAGAAAGACACTCACACTAAAGGTCAAACAGTACCGGTACAGATAAAGAAAATGTTACCAAAAGATTAATACTCTTTCCGGGGTTTGAAAATTCTAAAAAATTTGTACATTTTAGAAGATAAGCACCATCCAAATGGCCACAAAGCCAATGACAACACATTCTGAAACTATGATTAAATACCAACAATCATTACTTTAATTGTTATTAAGTTATTGTTTTTATCTTCATTCCCATTCATTTTAGTAATGACCAGATATTTTGAGTGCTGAATTGACTTTGTCCATAATGCCATTTTGACTTGGCACTACAGAACCATACCTCCTACCTCTTTTTAATTCTTATTTTTCCTTCATTTCAATGTAATTATATCTTGGATTAGCTAAAACTTTTCTATATGTGACATCAGCGTAAATCTTATTCAATTCATTACATTGACACCGAGATAAAGCTTAATTTATGGATTAGATTAGGCTAGAGACACCATAATAACCACCTCAAATCTTAACTACTGTACAAGAATTTAACCATGGACGACATGACCACTTTTATGAATGAATAAATCATAATGTTCCTAAATAATTCAATAAATAATATTTGTGAAAACAGTTTGAGTAAGCTTATTCTAAACTTTAAATAGTTAGTAAAATAACGGAATAAGATGTGATCGAGATCTATTTTGGGTGTTTCTGAAGAAGGCAGTAAGCAGAAACGTCAAATAACAGGACAATAATATAGTTATAAATAATATAGCTCATCCACATTAGGAGCAAAATAGTCTAGCTTTTCTATGTTAGGAAACATAGCCTCCCCCTGGATGAGTAAGCTTTTCATACCCAGTTCATTGTCCAACATTAAGAAACCTCTGTAGAAGGCCATTTACACTATGAAATTGAGACAATATCTCCTTGTAACACTAGATCAGTGCAATTTTTAGTCAAAATCAGGTTAGTTTTGCATTTTTGTCAAACACCAATAGGGCCTAAATGAAATAGCTTCTATTTCTATCATTCATAGCTTTTCTTTCAATCATCTTTCAGTATTTTCAAACTAAGCATGTAAATGATCAAATATGACAGCATTTTTCAACAATGTCATTGACATTAGGAGTTTAAATAGGAAGAAGACTCTCAGAAAGATAAGATGACATCTTAATGAGTCCAATAAGCATTTAACTGATTTAAAGATACAAACCTTATCATTTGGTGTTGTTCGGCTAGCCATTTTGAAACGTAATCAGTTAGAAATAAATTCAATTGAGATATTTATTCTAACTTCAAAGAAAGCCTCTTCCTTCTAAGCATCCAGTACTATCTCATTGAGATTTATCACAATCATCACAACAACAAATAATTTCTGATGAGATGAAAAAATGACAAGTAATTATCTCAAAATGAAGCAACAATTCAGAGCCAATGGTGGAATTCTCATACACATGGCCTATGTTTATCTATACAAGTGTTAATTAACTTCATTTTTAACAATACACATAGTCTAAAAATCTTTCCATGTATCAATGATCAAAATAAAATATTGTCTTTCAATCGAAGTAAACATGAAGGATTTTTCAATGGCGGAGCTCAATGGCTTCTGGGTAATAATTCTGACGTCACAGAGACTTCCGGTAATGGATGCTTCCATGAAGGTTTGTTTTGATTATGATATTTTGTCATTTTTACAACTTTGATACCATTGGAGACTATGCTAATCACAACTTCCACACCACTCTCGATTATTCAATATTTCCAATCGTAATTTACTCGAAACGTACTTTTCTTTTTGCTTATTAGATATTGATAAGTTATTGAGCCTTATTTCAGTTTGGATTTATCTATAGAGTATGTGTGTGGACTAACATTAGTAACAACAACAGTCAGTAACTTTGACAGGCTACTGTAGTTGTAGAGCCTGGGGGATTGAAGTGAGGGGATGGGGAAATGAACTACCTAACTACCAAAAACAGTGCATTTTTAAATTTTAGGAATAGACTAGGTACCAGTATACATTTTTAAAAAAAATATCTTGCCATCTTCCAGTAGGCCTTATGCCTGTACATGTAATCTTATTTATGTACAAGGTTTTAAAAGGATTCCAGTGAAATATCAACTAGGTTTCATAGCTTTCATTTTGATCCAATTTGCCCTTTTAGGCCTTTGTTTTTATCTTTTAATGTGGTTTTTAATTGCAGGATAGTTATTCCAATTGATAAGAGAGTGATGAAGTTATATTGTTAAAATTATGTAGCCCTGAATCTTGAGTCAAGATGGATGACAGTGGAATATTGCAAGTTACTCATGATTACAGTAGACAAAATGCTGACACAAGGTGAGATATGAATTTGAATCTACAGATGTACCGTATTGTTGTTTATAGCCATTTTTTTATTTTTATCCTTAAATTAGTATTCAGTGGCACTATCTAGGGGTAGCAGGTATTGGTAGGCTACAATTCTAAGTCGAATTACAGAAAGTCTGTATGGTAAATAGCTACACCGGTCCCTTGGTACCTTATATACCGGTATTTTTAAGTACAATGAAACCCCTCCAAAACGCCACGCCGTCGGACCACTGTGAAATGCCGGTTTGGAGGGGTTGCAGGTTTAACCGTAGGAGTGGCAATATAACAGAGTTACATCCCTTTATGACTTAATAGTTAATCCATTATCTGTAGTAGATATTGCCCTTTATAATGATAACTGGACACAGCGCGATGTCATTATAATAACTAACAATTTGTTATTTCAATCTTAATTCCCTTTGTGTGACATGTTGACATTTTCCAGGGTGTTCCATGATTATGATTTAAACTTTTGAGAAAATTTCGTCAACGGATTAAGGTCAATTAATTAAGACTAATTAACCATAGATTAACTACTTTGGGACTTGATTTTGATGCCGGATTGCCGTTTAGAGAGGTGCCTGTTTACTAGGGTTTATCTCCTATATTTTATATAGGGATAAGGCCGGGACTTTTCAAATGTACCGGTTTACAGAGGAATCCAGTCTATACAGGATGAGGTTTAGAGGAGTTTCACTGTACAAATTTCAGCATTAACCCCAAAATTCAGTCAAATTTTTTTCATATCAGAATATATATACTAAGCTTTGATTTTTTTTTTGAAGATTTAGCACTATTTTTGATAATACAGCATTAGTTTTTTTATACGCCCACATCTCTCTATGTGGACATATATTGTCGGTACCCCTGTACTAGATTTTTTGATGGAATCAAATGAAATTCGGTATACATATTCTTAAAACGAAGATCAAGGCCCAAAATGTTGAATATGCTATTCTTAGTTTTCAACCGATTTTGATGAAACTTAAAATGGATGTTATTGGACCTAAATCGAAAGGTTAGTTTACTTCTGATTAAATTTAAGGTTCTTTCAAGATTTAGGCCTCTTGAGGAGTTATCGCCCTATAACCTCTATACAGTAAGTACTCCTATCAACATCAATTGCTCGTAAACACTCTAAAGACTAGAGTGTTTGAAGGAATCAAATGAAATTCGGTATGTTCATACCTATTCATGAAACAAAAGTCTGTCGGTCCGTCCGTCCGCCAACATTTGCTTGTAACCACTCTAAAAACCAGATTTTTTGATGGTTATTGCCCTTGCCCCAAAATCTTGAATATTTTCCATCTGCATACCGTGGTGGGCATATATGGCTGTGGTCCACTGTCTTTAATGTGAAATTAGTAACACTTGAAATCAATATATGTATAATGATGTTTACTGTACTATATAATTAATAATAATATCATAATATACATTTCATATGTTTGTCAAGCAATACACAGCCACAAAATATAATTTGTATTATCATTCAAAACTCATCATAATAGCCTAAAACATTTGTTTAAATTACTATGGAAGCCAAAGTATGAACAAATTTAACATTTGTATTTGTATTTAACATTGTTATGTATAAGAGTTTTATACGAAACCAAGACTTGTACTGTACTGTACTAGTATATTTCCAGTAGTTAAACAGACTTCTGTGTCTTCCATAGATAACAGCAAATTGCTTAAAGGGACAGATTCACCATTTTCTGACACTAAAGTATGATTGATGACTCTGAATGATTCTCGGTTAAATGAAAATTTTTATTCTTTTTATTTAGTTTCAAAGTTCATAATTATAATGATAAAACAATCTATATATTACGTATTGTAATTTATTACGTATGTCAGAATTTGACCTATATTACTTGAAAGGTCATGGTCCTGAGCAGCAGAACGAATGGTGTTTTACGTCCTATTTTTCTGCACCATGCATGGTGCAATGAGGGAAATTTTGCCAGGACAGCGGCATAAGCCTGGTCTTTTTCAATTTCCAACTGTCGAGGGATCTTTAACGTGCAATGTAGCTTGTAGCATATGGGACTGTTGTTTATTGTCCCATTCTAACGACTAGACGCTGACTAAGCTATCTTGAACCCTGAACCTTCAGGTTAGTGAGCAAGCGTCTAACTCACTGAGCTAATGCGGCTCCCCCCTAAAAACTCAAGGGAGAAAAGAATCGTGATGTAGCAAGTGTTTTCAAAATTGTGCCCACTGTGTCAATATGTTTAAAACAGTTTGATATTGAAGCATGATAGAGTTGACTAATGTTTAAATTTCATGGCATGTCAATAATGGTTATTGTTTGTTTAATGTTGAAATATGTTTATTTTGATTATAGTGATATAAATGGAATACAGGATGAAAGTCAAACAAGATATGCTGAGTTGATAACTATAGATAATTGTAATAAAGGTCTAGGTAGGTGAATAAATACCTAGACATAAAGTCTCTGTAAAAGAGTCTCTGTAATAGAGTATCTGTAATAGAGTCTCTGTAATATATAGACTATTTTATGCTAATATCATTGTTACTTCTATAGACTCTTTTGAAAGTCAGTCTGACAAGCCAAAGGACACAGTGGCATCAAATTATCTAGCATATTAAGCAAATTATACTATCCACATATAAACACCTAATTGTAGATAAATATGTCTCCTACTTATTCTGAAATTTTCAACTAAAAATATTGAGCAATTATAAAGCCAAACACCAAAACTAGGTCAAACTTCTCTCCGTTTTTAATTAACTCTTTTTAAACAAATTCAGTTTGATCAAGAAGATACATATATATAAATAGCATACTTTAGAAATATTTTCAGGTATAATTTAAGATTTTTGATAATGAAAACTTTTTTTTTTAAAAAGGTGGAATACCATTTAAAGTAAAATGTCTAAAACATCCACATTTAGATTTCTTGAGGGGGCGAATGTTTAGAAAAGATGACTTTTGCATGGCCCCAAGATATCTAATTGTTTCATTAGAGCTTAAAGATTAGAGATTATATTCTTGTGAACAACTGAAATATTTTCTTGCAGGTTTGAAGATATGTGGTGGTTGTAGTATAGATGGTACAATGTTACATGGTATATTTATTAAATATGTTATACCAGGTGGTGTATCAGCTAGTTGTGGTAAGTTGTAGTATAGATGGTACAATGTTACATGGTATATTTATTAAATATGTTATACCAGGTGGTGTATCAGCTAGTTGTGGTAAGTTGTAGTATAGATGGTACAATGTTACATGGTATATTTATTAAATATGTTATACCAGGTGGTGTATCAGCTAGTTGTGGTAAGTTGTTGTATAGATGGTACAATGTTACATGGTATATTTATTAAATATGTTATACCAGGTGGTGTATCAGCTAGTTGTGGTAAGTTGTAGTATAGATGGTGCAATTTTACATGGTATATTTATTAAATATGTTATACCAGGTGATGTATCAGCTAGTTGTGGTAAGTTGTAGTATAGATGGTACAATGTTACATGGTATATTTATTAAATATGTTATACCAGGTGATGTATCAGCTAGTTGTGGTAAGTTGTAGTATAGATGGTACAATGTTACATGGTATATTTATTAAATATGTTATACCAGGTGGTGTATCAGCCAGTTGTGGTAAGTTGTAGTCTGGATGGTACAATGTTACATGGTATATTTATTAAATATATTATACCAGGTGGTGTATCAGCAAGTTGTGGTATGTTGTAGTATAGATGGTACAAAGTTACATGGTATATGTATTAAGTATATTTTAAAAACAAATGCCACAGTGTAATTAGAAATTTATCTAACAGTTTCGTATCATATCTGCAGATCAATTTTCTAACATTTTCAAAACAGACTATACCTTTAAAGGAGCACATGGTTTCAGAAACAGAAATTGTTTTAGTTCACATAATCAGTAATAGTGTTCACAGCTTATCGTCGAAATTTGAACCTTATAATCCATGTGTATCCATAATTATTCATGTTTGAAAGTTAAAATTTCGACTCGAATTTTAGTGAGACTATATATAGAAAACACATATATATATATAGAAATAGACAGTGAAATTTCTAGTTTGAGGTATATTTGACAGGATTATGCAATTTTTGTGCGTTTTAGTACTTCTTAAGACTATTAAAGCACAGTAAAGACCCAAATAAATTCCCGAAAATGCAGACTGTTCCCCTTTCATGATTATTGAATTAATGACTATATTTTTTTATAGGTTTGTTACAAAATGGAGATCAGATATTATCAGTAAATGATGAAAGTTTAGAAGGTGTGACAAAAGAAAGGTATGAGTTTTTACCAATACTACAATTGCCATCCATGATCTGACAAGATTCCTCATTAAATCTTGTTCAGTTATTATATTGTATTTAGTTTGAAAATGCTTATCAAACAGAGCCTTTGATTATTTGAATATTATATATGACATAGAACATATAACAATAATAATGATTATGGATGGAATAAAGAATCAAAATTAGAAAATTTTGTATCTGTTTTGTTTTCCGAAGACTCTACTTTAGGTTTTTATACCCCTCATATTATTATGTGGTTGTATATTGTCGTATGTTGTTGATGCCCCTTTCCATCCGTCTATCTTGTGAACGCAATATAGACTACAGTTTTCATCTGATTTTAATGAAATTTGGTGAGATCATTTATGATTGATTGATAAGTTCGAAGTTGGCTATCTTTTGATGAACATATTTTGAATTATTGTCCTTGACTTAGGAAAAGCTCATCAAAATTTGTATGTGAACACAATAGAGACTACAGTTTTTATCTGATTTAAATGAAATTTGGTGTTTGGACTGGTTTTTGAGTTATTTCCCTTGACTTAGGAAAAATGCTTCAAAATTTCTTTGTGAACACAATAGAGACCACAGTGTTTGGTATGATTTGACACAGATAGGTGACTGCCCTTGATATACTCAAAATGTATCAGGAAAGTGGGTGTATCTTGCTAGGCAACCACTTGTTATATTTCAGAATTTCTTTATTTTGTTTGGTTTTTCATGACACACTGTGATTGGTTAAGAATACTACTCTCGGAACAGGACTTTTGAAGAAACTTTGTTGATTACAATGTAGACTAGAAATATCAGAGTATAAAAAAAGATACAGAATTGTTATTTAATTTTAATTATACTGGGATGGACTCACTCATGGACAAAAATATGAAATGAAACATGATGCAGTTTATTCTTGAGTTATTTGTCTATTGTAGAGCTATATCAATATTAAAGAGAGCTGCTGGTGAAAATCATGCTGAAATATTGGTTACTAGAGATGATGAAGCCAGGTAATAATTCATTATTAATTATTCATTCAGCTGACTCAATTCTCTCATAAGAGACCACCTCCAGTAAGAGACCGTTTTTGAATTTTCCCCTGCGTGGGATCTTAATACAGATTTTTTACTGTATAGGGTAATCTAAAAATAGCTGGCAATATATATTGTAATTAATAATACTGACCACTTCAGACTGGACTTCCAGTTTTGCGCATCATGGATTTTCAGATCGGGCTATTAGGGGTAAAAATCTTTGAAATTGGATGAAAACTGCTACAAAAGCCACGGTAAGTGAAAGAAAACACTATATATTGTAGTATTTTACATTTCATTCCGTGCTGATTTAGCCATCGTTTAGATTACCCTATATATCTTATTAATGATAGAATTTACCATTCCTGTGATCTAAGTAAGTACTCATCTGATAATATCTTATTGTTAATTATAGAAGTGAATATATAGAGGTATTAGAAAAAGAAAACAGTTTAATGACTACTCCAGTACATAGCCCTTCTTTTGGTAAGAAAAAAGTTTTGATATAACTTAAGAAAAAGAATATTTTTTTTTGTGCAGTTGCCTTTAAATAACTTGGTAATCAATCATTGTGTCAAGAATCATTGTGTCAAGATCTTATTAACCTGTATTAAACTAAGCCCACTACACTTCATTTTGGGGCCGTATGGAAATGAGTACAGTAAGGCCGATTTTGATAGGACGATATTTAGCTATAAATATGTAATTTTTCCCACTTGTATATTATCACAGTCTCGAGGAAGTAGGACGAATGGGGGCATGGTTTTGACGATGTGGGTTTTGAAGTGAGTTCTCGGGGAAAGATATGTAATTTTTGGTTCTTATTTGTGGCCAAATTGGAAAACTTCATTAAATTTTGTTATTTATAGGCATGTATGGATAACTATTTCTGATAACTATGGAAATAAAGACAATCAAAGTTTTTGGTCATATAAATTGCAGACAGATTATTGCTTTCTAAATTTGTACTTTAAAAGGAACATAACTGAAGTTAAAACATTTGGACTCACACCACTAATTCATTTGCCATCTCTTCCAGAATCACAAATCACAAAATTCAACCTTCTACAACTTTTTACAGAGATCTTGTTGAAAACTTTCCAATATGTCACATGAAAGCCTGACCAATACTCAGTTTCTGGACAAAAATTCAATGTATCATGACCATGAAAATCTTGAACTAGCCCAACTGAAAGTAGACCACTACATTTTATCAACATCCACTTGACTGTCACTGCACACAAAACAACTATTTTTAGAATTATCCTTCCTTATGAAAATCTTTCATCATCTCACAAAATCTAAAAAAAAGTGCCCTTTCAGATCTAGACAATAAATAGGCATACAAAACCCCCCAAAGAGAGGGAGAAAAAGTATCTGAAAATAGCAAGGACTACATTCATAAAGAATCATTTGCATAAAATGTTTTAGTGGTCTGAGTCCATTTATGTCAAATAGATTTCATCAGAGAACTTTTTTTTTTTTCGTAGAAGAATCATTGTGTAATAGTGATAGTTATTTAAATGGTTCATTAGAATCACCATGGAAACACTTTGCTAACAGTCTTGATTCATTACCTGTAGCAGACGAATCTCTAAAGAAAACACAAAATTCTCTTCCAAGAAAGACAACTCTTGATCCTTCTGATAAATTTGATCTGGAGAAATTACAGGGGGTAAGTACAGTTGTAATCTTTATGTATAAAATGTACATACTGTGATTTTACCAAAATGTGTCACAATGGTGTATTTTAACTAGAAAAATCAATCGGTTTTTTTTTTTCAAAAAGTTGCCTGTTGAAGAACCCTCTCATTTCGACAATTTTGAGGCCAAGAGCCTATGTGTAATGTCATTAAGCAACAGATTTTTTCTTAACTTATGATAATTTCATTAATATCCATTGAAACAGCTCTATCCTGGCAAAGGTCGAGATGATACTTCGGCTTTTTCAACATGGTTTCCCCCTATCAGTGATGCAGGTCAGAAGTGTCTTGTCGTTTGTATGTTAAATTTAACAGAGATCCCATGTGCTACACGCTGTGCTTGATAATTGGAAATCGAAAAAGAGCAGGCCCTGTATTCTCGAAACATCCTAGCGCTAAGATCGTTTCGAAAATACGGGGCCAGGCTAATGCCAAATTGCCCTGGTAAAATTTCCCTCATTGCACCCTGCATGGTGTAGCTTGTCTTCATTAGCCCACATGGTGCAGAAAAGTAGGACATAAAGCTCCATTCATTTCATTTCATTTTGAAACAGATGTTAAAATAAAAAACTTTGGGTCTAGTGTCACATTCCATTATCCAAGATATTTTTACACTCTCCTGCATGTTGGGTTATATTATACACTGTTTTATAATCTAGTATGAAATCCTAGCCAATGAATTAATATGTTAATTTGATGTTTTCTTATATAACTACACAGTATAGTCAACACTTATGCTAAAAACATTTAAAATTTATTTTAATCTTGATATTGAATCATATTACTTGGTGGAAAAAAGATATTATAAATTAACATAAGGGTTCAAGGTTATAGATATATATTTTAAGCCCAAAACTTAGGTAACATTTCCTTTACTATGTAATTCCAAGGGCATCTTCACAATGTTAAGCTATTACAGCATTCAGCTTATACCTTGACTTCAATAGTCATATTTCTTGTATCACTGAATGATACAGAGAAGCTGAAAACATGTCTAAGGCCTCTGATTGGCTGAATTGGCTAGCATACAATCCAATCAAATCATTGCATTTACAAACTTCCATGATAAAAGATGGATGACTTTTGCAGTCAATGTATAAGCCGAAGGTTATAAGAGCTAGACATTGTGAAGATGTTCCAAGGGTTGCTACAAAAGATTAAAGATGGGTTTGCTTATTTTTTAGTATTTAATTAAGCAAAGTATTTGGTGTTTCTAATGAATTATCATGTATTCTTAATCATATCATTAGGTTCTTATTTCATATAATTTAGAGTTTTTGACCAATCATAAATGACCATGTACAGTCTGGACAAACAAAAAAGACTTTTTGACCTTTCTTGATCGGTCACTCATTGGAATTCTGCTTGTAATTCTCTAGATACTAATTTAGCTACCGTAATTATGAATTAAATATGGACATGTGAGACAAACTGGTATTTTTCTAAGTCATTAGAACACCTCTCCTTTCTATTCATAAAAGTATTAGCATTTTCATTTTCATAAATGAAAAAAAGTGAACCCATCTTTAAAGCTAACAACAGAAATGTTTTCACTTGTACACCACCCAACAATATTTTAGCCATATTGAATCAAAGAAATCACTTTACTTGAAAAATCGTTGGATTTACAATATTCCAGGGTACAAAAATAACAATTTTACATAGTGTTTTATTTCATATGTTTGAAGGGGTAAAATATATAATGAAATTAAATGTATCATGTACAGTTTACGAGATAACGTATTATAGTCGCAGGCACTTAATTCTGTTTAAAATGAAAAAATTAAATAATCTCAAAATCTTGTTTTATTCGAAATTTTTATACACCCACAAATGAATATTATTTTGGGTGTATATTGTAATCACCTTGGCGGTCCATCGGCCCGTTCACATTTAGCTCGTGTTGACTCTACAGGTTACAGATTCTTTAGATTCGTAAGATGGGCGTATATTGTAATCACCCCGTCGTTTCGTCCGTCCGTCTGTCCGTTCACATTTGGCTCGTGCTCACTCTACAGGCTACAGTTCTTTATGGATTCTTTTGATTTTTTATTTTGTATGTCAATGTCATTATGAAGATGATCCCTATTGATTTTCGTGATGATAGGATAATTTTTCACCGAAATATCGTGTCTGACTTGACGTTTTTCTCTATTAGCTATATTGTGCAACTCGTGCTCACTCTACAGGCTACAATTCTTTACAGATTCTTTTGATTTTTATTTTGTATGTCTATGTCGTTATGAAGATGATCCCTATCGATTTTCATGATGATCGGATAATTTTTCACCGAAATATCGTGTCTGACTTGACGTTTACTCTATTAGCTATATTGTGCAACTCGTGCTCACTCTACAGGCTACAATTGTTTACAGATTCTTTTGATTTTGATTTTGTGTGTCAATGTCATTATGAAGATGATCCCCATCGATTTACGTGATGATCGGATAATTTTTCACCGAAATATCGTGTCTGACTTGACGTTTTTCTCTATTAGCTATATTGTGCAACTCGTGCTCACTCTACAGGCTACAATTCTTTACAAATTCTTTTGATTTTTATTTTGTGTGTCAATGTCGTTATGAAGATGATCCCTATTGATTTTCGTGATGATCGGATAATTTTTCACCGAAATATCGTGTCTGACTTGACGTTTTACTCTATTACAACTCGTGCTCACCCTTCAAACAACAATTCTTTACAGATTTTTTTGATTTTTATATAACCATACATAATATGGAAGCAGATTGTCATCCCCCCTTCGATTCACACTTACTCAATATACAGGCTACAAACAATGATTTGTACTTTCAATCAAAGCTGCTGATGGGCGTATGTCATCTTACTTCTCAAGGCTACCTTTTTTTTTGATCAGAATCATGTATCAGTATATATTTAGATCTATGGTATTCAGATAGTAAAGGACTTGTAACAGCTAAAAGATGAAATATATCTATACATGTATAATATATAATAATTTTGTATCTAAACTTGATATCCAGTATGTATTTTCTATTTAAAGAGATTACATTATTTGAATTTACAACCAACTGCTAATCAACTACAAATTTTACATCAACATCTAATTATTGACGCTTACAATCAAGTTACTTTTGGCAGTAAGTATTTTTTTTTTTTTTTTTTTTTTTTGCGTTCTTGGAATATAGGGAATCATTTGTAAAAGACAAAAATGGCTTTTCTTTCACTATAGCAAATTATTATAAGATCTCTCAACAGTTGTAAATCAAGAGAGAGTAGGCTTATGTCCTAGCAAAATTTCCCTCATTGCACACTGCATAGTGTTTCCCATCCTCATTAGCCCAAACAGGTGCAGAAAAGTAGGACTGAACTCTCCATTTCATTTCACTTTTATTTCACTTTCATTTCACTTTCATTTCACATCAATTTCACGCCACTTTCACATCACTTTCACATATATTTTACTTTCATGTTACTTCCATTTCACTTTCATGTCTCTTCCATTTCACTTTCATATCTCTTCCATTTCACTTTCATTTCAATTCCATTTCTCTTCCTTGCCACTTCCACTTCACTTTCATGTCACTTTTATTTCATTTCATTTGCATTTCACTTCCATTTCACTTTCATTTCTCTTTCATGTTACTTCCATTTCTCTTTCATGTTACTTCCATTTCACTTTCATGTCACTTTCATGTCACTTCCATTCCACTTTCATTTCACTTTCATTTCACTTTCATTTCAATTCCATTTCACTTTCATTTTACTTTCATTTCTCTTTCATGTCACTTCCATTTTACTTCCATTTCACTTCCATTTTACTTTCATTTTACTTTCATTTCTCTTTCATGTCACTTCCATTTTACTTCCATTTCACTTCCATTTCACTTTCATGTCACTTCCATTTTACTTCCATTTCACTTCCATTTCACTTTCATTTCACTTCCATTTTACTTCCATGTCATTTCACTTCCATTTCATTTTCATTTCACTTTCATTCCATTTTATCTTATTTCATCTTATAACAGATTTTATGCAAGCTGTAAAGTTGGTATTTGAAGATGAATTAAGAAGTAGTAAATGTAATATTTATAATAAAAGTATTAATTCAACACCAAGAAAATCACCTATAAATTATACACAACAGGTAATTGTGGTAGTGTAGCTATATTTACCAGTCATGTCTGTTTGAAATACTATAAATATCTCATGTTCAGGACTGTGGATTCAGTAGTATTTGCCAGTCACATTTGATAGCAATGCTACAATTATTATATATAATATTATATCATGGTTAGAACTGATTCAGTTGCATTTGATAGTCTTGTCAGATTTAATTATTTACAGTGCAAATACGTATTAGAATGAACATAAAATTTAGAAATTTTAAACCAGGCCAATGAGATCATCAGTAGATATACCTGGTGTCATAAATAACATAACAGGATTAAATAAGTGATATTTTTAGCAGAAATCATATTTGTATTTTTAATTTGTTAAAGGGACAGATGCGCCATTCAATCAATCATACTTTAGTCTCCGAGACAGTTCACTGTCAAAATTTTAGCCTTCAAATCCATGTGTGTCCAGTCCAGAATTATTTGTGTTTGAATGTTAAAATGACGACTCATCAATTTTAGATATTCTGTGATATATAGAAAAGACATATATAGAAATATTGAGTAAATTCCTAGTTTGAAGTATATTTAAAGGAATTATGTGATTTTCGAACATTTCAAGTACTTCTGAAGACTATTAACCAGGGTTTTTAATTTATTTTTTTGTCAGTCGGATTTGATCTCAATTTCAACTTGAGAGAAGGTCTACTATACCATGTTCTACAGCACCAGTATTGTCATGATGTTTGGCAAAAGAAAGGTCAACTGTGTCATTTAACCAACAGTTCTACTTTATCACTAATTATAATTACTCTGCCAGGAATGTTAAAAGTTTGAAACAATATTGGGTCACCTTGTCCTTTGAACCTGCTTTTCTCGGCAATTTGCTCAACATTTAAAATTATTATTTTACTCCTTGCCTTTCAAATACCTTTTTTGTTTTTCTCAAGATTGCCATAATTGACTTTGAAATGTAAGATCACCTGTCATATTTTCACTGAATGACACATCCTAAACAATTCCCAAATCATTAGATAAGATCGTTTTGAAAAGTAAACCAACAATTCCTGACAGATAGTATTAACATATATTCAAGACTAAAATCAACCCCCAAAAATGACGTACTGACCCCTTTAAACAAAATTATTGTTTTATCTACTTTTGTTGTTTTTCTAATTTGCCTTGACGTAGTTACTGAATTTTGTTTTGATTTAATATTATGAAACGAGTAATAATGTTGATTTGTGTTAAAGGATGTATCATCAATTTGTTCAGAAGATTTTCTGTCCGTCTGCCAACAAAGAGATGAGTTAAAACAACAGATACACAAACTAGAGGTCTTACTACAGTCTAGAGAGAGTAAATATGAACAAGAGTTACTCAAGATGAGGAAGGTAGGTTCAATATGTATTTTCTAATTCCAGTCATCTCAGCTGTAAATGGGTAAATGTTTTTCAATTAATGTCAGTAGAGATTACCAAACTTCAAAAATAATGATAATATTTTCACCATTAGCCATATCTCCAACTGTTTGTTAGGTATTAGTGAGTGAGAGCCAACACCGGGCCAACTCTCAGACTTGAGGAGGATTCGAACCCATGGCACCCTAATCTCCTAGACAAGATTTCCAACACGCTACTGACTGAGCTATTCCACTGCCACTAAAAGACAGTGTTCTAACCCAGCGTTAGAGGTAAGTATGGACGTTGACACAGTTCCAAAGTTGTTAACTTCTTCAAGGAGATATTCATATAGTCTGGCACTGACAAGGATAGGTATTAAAGGGATTGTAAAGAGGTTTTCTAACTTTTGCATATAGGGGACGTCTGTGGTTTCTGCCATTCCACTAAAACTAAGTGTATTATGCCATCACCTAGCAAAATTTACTTGTATCACGTAAGACCTTTGCGGGGGAGACGTCATAAAACATTCAGTTTTAGTTGAATGGCAGGAATCACAGACATCTGATTGAAAATTGGAATGGCACAAATTTTATGCTAGCATAGTCCCAATACATATACAAAATTTAGAAAACCTCTTTACAATCCCTTTAAGTATAGGCCTATGATATAAATATTGAAAATATCAATCTACCCTTTAAATATCCACACATTGACTGTTATATTTACCAGTGTCTTAATTTGAGGATGGATAATTATTTCAGGAAGCACAAGCTGCTATAGATGAAAACAGATCATTAAAAACACGAGTCCGTCTGGCTGAACAAGCTCAAACTGAGGCTCAAACTTTAGAAAATGATTATGAAGAGGCTGTGAGTTATTTAGAGAATGAAATTCGAGATTTACGCACTCAGTTGAAAAAGGCAAGTATTAGCAGGACAAATAGTTATCTTATAGCTGATAATGTTGTACAAATATCTTGGAGCGTTTTTTTCAAATTTTGATGAACCCTACCGTCTACATGAGAATAAGTTCTACTTGTCTAACTTCAGTAGGGAGGCAGGCTGAATTATATAGGTCAGTTGTCTGAAGATCTCATAGTGTGGAACTCTGAGAAACAGCAACATGTATTTTTAGTTTCTGTTTTAATATTTCTAATTTTAAGATATTCTCTTTCCTTATCTAATAAAAGAATCATGATTATTATCAAAATAAATCATATCATTGGATGAGTATTGCTTCATGAATGGTCATAGCCCTTGTATTATGTATTGTATCGATCAGTCCTATGATCTATTTTGGTTGTATTATAGAATGGATTATCAGATAGTGTAAGTAAACAGTCAGTCACCCTAGCTTGCCAACTAAAGAAAGCTGAAGCTCAGTTAAAGATTTATCATGCTGCAACAGAAAAACTGGTAGCTCATGTTGAGGTAACTTCAATTTAAATCTAAAACTTTTAAAGTTTTATTTTTAATAATGCAATTCTATTATTGAGTAGTGTATAGTGTGGTTGATTTAACTGTGAAAGTTAGACAAGATCCTTCCTTCTTAAAGGGACAGATGGGCCATTTTGGTGATTTGATTTTAGTATATTTGAATATATTTAAATAGTCTTCAGAAGTACAAGAAATGTACGAAAATCACATAATTCCTTCAAATATATCTAAAACTAGGAATTTTACTCACTATTTCTATATATGTCTTTTGTATTTATCACAGAGTATCTTAAATTGACGAGTCATCATTTTAACATTCAAAGGGGGATAACTCTGGACACACATGGACTTGAAGGCTCAAATTTCGATGGTGAGCTTTTACTGATTGGCTTAGTAAAAATATCCAGTTTCTGAGACTAAAGTATGATTGGTCAAAAAGAATGGCGCATCTGTCCCTTTAAAAATAATTTGGATCTAACTTAAATGTTAAACTAGAAGTAGTAGGGCTGGGTGATATACCAATATCAGGATATATACCAGAATAGGAATTTAAATTGTTAGTAATATCACCTGATTAAAAAATACTGAAATATCGTCATATTGTGATATATAGTAGTTATCATGATATATTGTTAAATATTTATACATATAAGATCATCTACACAATTTTAATAAGTAACTTAATATTTCAATCAGATGGAAATTAGAATGGTGCAAATTGATGCTATCAGTGTCCCCGATACACATACACAATTTTTGAAAACCTCTTTACAATCCCTTTTAGAAATATAGTAATATATACCCATATCATGATATATTAATATTTGATATTGTGATATATACCCATATCATGATATAGTAATATTTAATATTGTGATATATACCCATATGATATATTAATATTTGATATTGTGATATATACCCATATCATGATATAGTAATATTTAATATTGTGATATATACCCATATCATGTATATTAATTTTCAATATTGTGATATATACCCATATCATGATATAGTAATATTTAATATCGGGGATATATACCCATTCCATGATATAGTAATATTTAATATTGTGATATATACCCATATGATATATTAATATTTAATATTGTGATATATACCCATATCATGATATAGTAATATTTAATATTGTGATATATACCCATATCATGATATAGTAATATTTAATATTGTGATATATACCCATATCATGTATATTAATTTTCAATATTGTGATATATACCCATATCATGATATAGTAATATTTAAGGTATAGTAATATTTAATATTGTGATATATACCCATATCATGATATAGTAATATTTGATATTGTGATATATACCCATATCATGATATATTGATATTTGATATTGTGATGTATACCCATATCATGATATAGTAATATTTAATATTGTGATATATACCCATATCATGATATAGTAATATTTAATATTGTGATATATACCCATATCATGTATATTAATTTTTAATATTGTGATATATACCCATATCATGATATAGTAATATTTAATATCGGGATATATACCCATATCATGATATAGTAATATTTAATATTGTGATATATACCCATATCATGATATAGTAATATTTAATATTGTGATATATACCCATATCATGTATATTAATTTTTAATATTGTGATATATACCCATATCATGATATAGTAATATTTAATATCGGGATATATACCCATATCATGATATAGTAATATTTAATATCGGGATATATACCCATATCATGATATATTAATGCTTAATATCGTGATATCAACTTGAATTAATATCACCCAGCCATTAGAAGTAGGATGATAAGAATACTTTCATGTAGTAAGCAATTCTGTATCTAACATATGTTAGGTAAGAAAGAAACAACTATATTTTACAAGTATAACAATTTGGGTTCACAATTAAGGATCCTTTCTACCAACTGGTACTCTTTACATTGATCTTTCTGGAATTTTGAGTAATTATGACTTATTCAAGGTAGAATTATTACTCATAATTTTAAAAAAATAATTCATTGCCTATGTTTCTGAATTATTTTCAGCATGTACAAGATGTTTTAACGCAGCAAGTCACAGGTAAAAGGTAGGTGTTTGTGCCCTTAAAATCTTTTTTTTTTTACAACAAGGTGTTCTACGCTGTGTTTTTAAGAGCAAACAATGCCTGTTATTTTTTTATGTTCAAATTTTCTTTAATTTGTAGAAATAATGAAAGTGAAGGTATAAAGAAAGATGGTAGAGATAAGAGAAAGGAAAATGTAACAACTTTAATACAAGATGGTCAAACTGTTATTAAACTGGTCAAATCTCTTACTGAAACAGCTCGTAAGTTTATTTACAATCTTGACAAACTATGTGGACTCTCTTAAACTGAAGCTAAATAGAGAAACATTTTCCATCGGTGGAAGCAGGTGTTCCAGTAAAGTCTGGAAATCCTGCCAGCAACATCTACCATGTTCTTAGGGAGCTACAGTGGCTCAGTGAAGGTGCAGTGTTCAATCCCTGCATAGGTTGAGATAATACCTTTGGATTTTTCAACCTGGTTTCCTAGATGCATGTCAGAGATATATGTTCAGATGGGACAATAAACTGCAACCCTGTGTGCTTCAGAGTGCACATTAAAGATCCCCATGACAGTTGGAATGCAAAATTTCCCTCATTGCACATTGCATGGTGTTGCCTATCTTCATTAGTCCACTAGGTGCAGAAAAGTAAGACATAAAACTGTAACAAATGAATAATGTTATGTAATTGTTTTCATTTTTACCTTTCAACCCGGTTTCCCCCTGTCAGTGATGCAGGTACGAGGGGCTGACATGGAAAAAGTGTCTAGTCGTTCGGATGGGACAATAAACCGAGGCCCCGTGTGCTACAGGCTGTGCACGTTAAAGATCCCTGGACAATTGGAAATTGGAAAAGAGCAGGCTAATGCCGCTGGCAAAATTTCCTTCATTGCACCCTGCATGGCGTTACCCACATGGTGCAGAAAAGTAGGACGTAAAACTCCATTTATTTCATTTTTCATTTTTACCACATTTTGGATGTGTATGATATAACTGTAATGATGACATTTATTTGTAGCTTTACCCTATGGTTGGGAGGAAGCTTTTAGTGAAGATGGTAGTAGATATTATATCAAGTAAGTTATTAATAACAACTAAATCAGCTAGTATAAATACTAAGAGGTATGAGGAGTTGACTTACCCAATCACATTATGTCAACAGGTGTTTTGAATTAGAAATTCTTTACTTAAAATTTTGCTATAGAAATTTGATTTAAATTGGCAAAAACTTCTGAATTAAAGTCATCTTGTATTTATTCCTGTGTTAATGAATCCTTGAAGGAACAGGTGCCCCATTTTCTTTTACCAATCTTACCTTAGTTTCAGAAACAGAAATTTTTTAACTAGGCCTATGTGTTCACAGCTCACCATCAAAATCAACTCTGAAAATGCTGCACCTGTCCCTTTAAGTCATTGTTGTAATATTTGTCAGACTTGCGCCTGTATTGTATATTATTCAATTGTATATAAGCAAAAGTGGAACATAAAGGGACAGGCGTGCCATTTTTTTGACCAATCTTACCTTAGTCTGAGGAAGTGGAATTTTCTAGCTAAGCCAATCAGTAATAGTGTTCACAGCTCACCATTGCAATTTGAGCCTTCAAAGTTCAAATACATGTGTATATATCTACATTTGAAAGTTAAAAAGACAAGTCGTCTCTTCTTGAGACACTGCTATATATAGAAAAGACATCTATAGAAATAGTAAAAGAAATTCCTAGTTGTGATTTTCGTACATTTCTAGTACTTCTGAAGACTATTTACATACTCAAATCAACCCAAAATGGCGCATTCATTCTTTTAAGTGAACGACTTTTAGTAACAATACTTGATATTTTTTTTCAGTCATATTACGCAAACAACATCATGGACACATCCAGCCTCTGGTGTTCAACATATATCAGATAAAAATAAACCCAGTACTTCAAAATCCAAAAGCTGATAGATAACAGGTGTCTTGATGGTATACATAGAATTATTTTTACATTACTGTATCTATTTATTAAGATGTTTCGTGCCTTAGAATTTTATTATTGTATATGTCAGTGATGAAGTTTATGAATTGCTTAGAATTGGGTTTGAAAATTTCGATCTTTGAGCTTATCCACATCAATTTTAGCTTACAAACTTAACGTATATATCTGAATACCTGTACAGACTTGATTAGTGAGATATTTCATCATCTGTACAGAGTTGATTAGTGAGATATTTCATCATCTGTACAGACTTGATAATTGTCATATATATTTCATCATCTGTACAGACTTTATATTATGTGAGATATATCAGATATATCATCATCTGTACAGACTTGATAAGTGAGATATATCATCATCTGTACAGGCTTGATAATTGACATATATTTCATCATCTGTACAGACTTTATATTATGTGAGATATATCAGATATATCATCATCTGTACAGACTTGATAATTGTCATATATATTTCATCATCTGTACAGACTTGATAATTGTCATATATATTTCATCATCTGTACAGAGTTGATAAGCGAGATATTTCATCATCTGTACAGACTTGATGAGTGAGATATATCATCATCTGTACAGACTTGATAAGTGAGATATATCATCATCTGTACAGACTTGATGAGTGAGATATATCATCATCTGTACAGACTTGATAAGTGAGATATATCATCATCTGTACAGACTTGATAAGTGAGATATATCATCATCTGTACAGATAATCAAGATGTCTCAACTTTACAGGATTAATTAGATTTTATATTCCTGAATTTATTAGCTTTTCATTTGCTCATACAGGCTTCAATTTCATGAGAATGCACGCAAGCTTGTATGATCAATTACACTCAATAACACTGGGTTAATCAACATTGTCCATGTGCAGTGTATTTTATTTTATTTAAGAATAATATTATTAAAGTGCAATTATTTATTTATTTATTGATCTTTGCTGTATTTTTGTGATAGTCCAGTTTTTATATCTTATACCTTAAAGAGGTTTTCCAACATTTTTATATGTAAATGGAACACTGATAGCATCAATTTGCACCATTCCAATTTTCAATCAGTGGATTGCAGGAACCTCAGATGTCTGATTGAAAATTGGAATGATGCAAATTGATGCTAAAAAATACCTGTCTAGTAAACTAAAACAATGGTCTAGTTCGTCGTATTCTTTTGATATTCACATACAACCATTGTTTGTTTGTTTCACTCTTTACCAATGATCTATTGAAATTTTAACTCAATAGTTTCAAAAAGTGTTGTAATTTATTTAACCAATAAAAAACAATTTCCAAGGTGAATATTACGGAGCCCCTTAAGCGCAATTTTCAACACTTTTTATTATTATTTCATTTAAACGAAATAATAAATAAATATGTTTACAATTGCACCTTAGGGGCTCCGTAGAATATGGATTTAATTAACAATATTTTTATATAATGTAGTGATTAGTCATTGATTATATATTGGCTCAGTTTGAGTTTATATTTTTGGGTAATTATTTAGCATGTACATACTTTTTCTTGCCAGTATTAATTTTTTTTAATTTTTAAAGCCTAATGTATAAGGATTAAAGTTGTTTAATATTTGCTTTACCAGCTGATGGATCCAATTCCAGCCTCTACACATATTAGAGTAACAATCCGGATTGGGTTTGTCTACAATAGACGAAAAGTTTATTGACAGAGGACGACAATAAATATCTGAATTATCATGCAGTTTTTAACATTCTTTCATACAGATTTAACCAAATTCATAACATGATATAAGTGCATAACAAATGTTATCAGTCTTCAGATGGATTGTGCTTGGACAGCTGAAATTAGACTCTGTAAGCCAATAAAACAACTATTTAGACAACTATAGCTGTAAAATCATAAGTCTGAGTTGAGCAAATAAATTTGTGTACATCTGGATTCAAAATGTGAACACGACCAATCCAGTTACTAAGGTACTTGAATTAGTATTGAAAACAAATATAAGTCTAATCTCTATAGTTTTTTATAATTACAAATATCAAAACAGACCCTGAAACATGTTGTTACTCAAAGTTTCATGCTATACACTTGAAATTCTGAGTAACAACATGTTTCAGGTTCTGTTTAGATATTTCTATATCTCTCTTCAATTAATGTTTCAAGCAATAAAGTAGACTGATAGATTAATATATTGAATCTAACTGGAAGTGCTCAAATATCTTTGCTGGACAATATCTTAATGATGAGTTCCCTTATTTTTTAGTGTCAAATTGAGCAAACTATTTGATTAATTGGTGATTCTAATGAATTATCATGTATTCTTAATTATATCATTATGTTCTTATTGCATATAATTATGAGTTTAACCAATCATAAATGTCCATGTATGTACAGTCTGGATAAACAAAAAAAGACTTTTTGACCTTTCTTGATCAGTCACTCATTGAAATTCTGTTGGTAATTCTTCTCTAATTTAGCTAATTATGAATTAATTATGGACATGTGAGACAAACTGGTATTTTTCAAAATCATCAGAACAGCCCTACTTCCTATTCATATAAGTATTAGTACTTTCAATTTGTAAACGAAAATAAGGGAACCCATTTTTAATAGGCTGTGCCTGAAATCCTAATAAATAAAACCTCTAAATTTTATTATACAGACATCTATGTGATATTATAGAGAATTGAATCTCAGTTTTTCTTGTAATTAGAAATCCAGAACAAAATGATATTATGTTAATTATAACACAGGAATTTGAATTCTAATTTGTCATTCTTAGATATTGAGTTAATTTAACAACGGTTTTATTTTGATTCAAATAGGTTCTAGAAATGGTTATATTCTGTTAGGTTACTTTACTCATTTAAGATCTAACATCATCTATCTGTAGATAAAGTTCAACCTGATGACCTATTTAAGCTTCTTTGAAGCAGTATTTAACTCTTTGTCAATTGAACACAAAATTGGTTAAATTTGCGAACATGCGTTTTTATACGCCCACACGTAAGATGGGCGTATATTGTAATCACCCCGTCGGTTCGTCCGTTCACATTTGGCTCGTGCTCACTCTACAGGCTACAGTTCTTTATGGATTCTTTTGATTTTTATTTTGTGTGTCAATGTCGTTATGAAGATGATCCCTATCGATTTTCGTGATGATCGGATAATTTTTCATCGAAATATCGTGTCTGACTTGATGTTTTACTCTATTAGCTATATTGTGCAACTCGTGCTCACTCTACAGGCTACAATTTTTTACAGATTCTTTTGATTTTGAAGCAGTATTTAACTCTTTGTCAATTGAACACAAAATTGGTTAAATTTGCGAACATGCTCACTCTACAGGCTACAGTTCTTTATGGATTCTTTTGATTTTTATTTTGTGTGTCTATGTCGTTATGAAGATGATCCCTATCGATTTTCATGATGATCGGATAATTTTTCACCGAAATATCGTGTCTGACTTGACGTTTTTATCTATTAGCTATATTGAGCAACCCTGTAGTCACTAAAGACTGTTTAATCATTTCTAACAGATGCCAGTGGGCGTATGTTACCTTGCCTGGCAAGCTATCTTCTGTAAATGTCTTGAGATCTAGAAATGAAGTAACCCACAGAAAATAAATGAAATGAAAAGAGTTCTATGCAATTGAAGAAACCCTGAGGGCGGATACGAAGTATTTTTAAGAGTTATGGGTACTTTCACAGTATTTTGTTTTTGTTTATTTGTTGTTGATATTTTTTGAATTTTTAAAGAATTGTAGAAAGTTTTATGTGATAGTGCATCAGATGCAGGTTTCCAGTCAAATTCGCACATGACTGGTAAGTATAGTTCAAACAACAGCCCTGACAGGGAATGTTTAGAAACATGTTTGTTTGAAAATGATACATTAAGATTTATATATTTGTTTTTATGGTATATAACGTATATTCAAAAATTAAATTTATATATTATATATATTTTGGGTCAAATGTTAACCATAGAATGGGTACAGATAATCCTGGATAATCATTTTTGATTGGTATCATTTTACAATTTTCTTGTAAACTGAAACTAGAAAGCATCTTACAATGTTAAGCTATTATAAACTGAGTCTCATACTTTGACTATAATATCCATCTTTCTTGTATCACATAATACAGCAATTTGATTGGATTGCACGCCAGCGAATACAGCCAATCAGAGCCCAAGACTAAACTTTATGTCTAATGTTTGACAGACTTTCTGTCAAGCCCTCTGATTGGCTGTATTTGCTAATGTACAATCTCGTCAAATGGTTACATTTACATACAACTGCACGATTTTTATCCGCTCAAATGATCGTGAACACGGGCTGCCTACGCATTGTTTAACGAGCAACAAATTAACCACATTGGTATATTGGAGTGTAATAGAAATGAATTGTTTATATAGATTAAGCATTGTCCACGCTTTCGCATGCACATCAAAATTGCATGTACCTGTTTTTGAGCAGAGTTGTACGAAAATTTATGCGCGCCAAATTTTTTACATGACCGCCCCCCATCCTCCACACACACACACACACCCTTCACATACGCCTCGCCCTAGTTCTCCACTGTCTTTTTGGTGGCTCAGTCGGTAGTGAGTTGGATTATCGTCTACTAGGCGATTAGGTGCATGGGTTCGAATCCTCCTCAAGGTAAGAAAAATTCTGATGCCTATGTCATTGCTTCCGAGAGTCCGCCCGGCGTCGGCACTCACTCCCTAATACTTAGTTCACGAAGTTCAAATTAAGTGCGTGTCAAACAGAAAGTGTGCAAGTGTCAGTGTGAATTAGGTTTTACAATGCACTGTTAATACTTTATCAATAAAAAGTTACACATTCTTCGCTTTAGAATTTGACTATTTGTCATTTCAACAATGTCTTCTTTCTAAACGGGTTTATCATGAAATTGATATAAGAGTGCAGATTATTAGAGCGTCCTTCAACCAAAAAGTAGAAAACCCGT